AGTAACAGCCATAGGCATACAGCTTTTCATTGGAATGAACAACAGAATAAAGATACTCAAGTTGCAATAGGTTGTAGAAAGAAATGGAAATAAGTAAACAAAATATTCAACATTCAACAGCACCATCAAGACCAAAAGCGTAAGTGAAATTATAAGAAAGACCTGAAACCACCAATTACTGTAAATCTAACTTTTGCTGCTAGAGGGTCCAAGCTTTTCTTTTTTCTATTAGTGATGAATTGCAAACAATAATAAAGCCAAGGGCTTGTAGGGCCTATAGCTAGTTATGGTGTAACACGATTGAGACAATTAAGAAAGAGAGAGTAGAAAACAATAAAAAGAAAATGATAAAAGTGATTTTGTAAAAACCACTGTTTGCAATTGAGAGATTATGCAAAGCACATAATATAGTTTAAATACATTTTTATTAGAGTTATACACCAAAAAAAGAATCAAATAATATTTTTTTATAAACTTAATCCTTTGAATGTTAATAATTTTGTAGTGACATAATAAGCATAAAAAAAAAAACTGATAACACATGAATGACACCCAAATAAATGTAACAATAAACCAAGAAAGTAAAAACAAAAAAGATAATTTACGTGTGCTTTTAATATGAAAGCTTGAGGGAGAAATCAACACAATTAGAAATATTAGCATAAAAAGTTTTATCACTTACTATAACTAAAGCTTTTGCAGGCCATTTTCAGTAGTTGAAAAAAAATTTCTACTAGTGCATTATTATCCATAATTAGCTTATTCTTAGGATCATTTTTCAGTACCATTCCCTAATTCTGTATATCAAAACATTTTTCAAGCACATCATCCATTTTTTATATTATTGTAAATAGAGCTATGAAAGGAAATAGTCAAGACAAACTCAAGCCCCAAAAGAATTCATAAATCTTTTTACATACAAAGTTTGAGCTTTTCTCCATAATAACAGTTTATTAAGCAATGAAGTATGCTAAATATAAGAATTCAACAATGAATCAAAAAATAAAAAAAAATTTAAAACATGAAACTAACATGTATTATGTCAATGTACCTCTGAGTTTTTTGCAATTTTGAAATGCTATTAAGATCATCGTAGTTAAGGGCTTCGATATCAGCCAGGTCATCATCAATATCTTTTTTCATGTTTGTGACATCATCATTTTCTTCCTCCTAAGAAATAAATATGAATATCACTATTAACGGTAATCATTAAATAAAAGATAACTGAACAAAAGGAGAATGATTTGAATCTTATAACAATGTTGACTTTGTTGTCTGACAATTCATCAAGGTCCGCAAGAAATGAATTAACTAGAGTTGGCTATAAGTTCACCAATATAAAAGTCATAAAATGAAATTACCATTATTCAATTGAAAATATATAATATTCCAAAAAAAAAACTGAAGTAATCAATGAAATTGAAATGTAGTTCAAATCAAATAAAAAATAAACACAACATCAATAGCTTAATATAACAAAGAAAAAGCCAAAATAACATGGACTTAAAAGTTAAAACAAATTCAAACAAAGAACGATCTAATTTTAACTTCAACGTTCATCCCAAGAATTCTAAAATGATTTCAAGATCAATAGATTCCTACAAACTACAAAAAAAAATGACTAAAATAAGAACAAAACTATAATTACAAACTCAAATACCAAATACATGTCATCATGCAAAAAGCTAAAAACCATACAAAACAATATACATGAACAAAAAGCAATAAAATAGCTATTACAATGTCGACAACTACAAAAGTATCAATTCAAGACTAACAAAACAACATATATGGATAAAACAATAAAGTATAAAACTAATAGCTTCCACTGATACATAACCCACAATTATTAACCTAAACCAAAAAACTATAGTTTAATAAAAAAAAATATTATACATAAAAAAAATCCAAATACAAAACTTATACCCAAAAAATCCCATAATCACATAAAAAGAACAATTTGCATAATGCAAGAGAAAACATAAATAATTAATTGAATAACATGCATGCATAGAAACAATAATATTAAAACACCAACAAAAAATACATTGACAAAAAACAAACCACCTACAAAAAAGAGCAAAAAAAACCAAGAAACCAAACATGAGAAAAAAAGAAGAAACTCACTTGAATAAAGAAAACAAACGAAATAACAAAAACACTAAAAACTATAAAAAAAAATTGAGAAGAATAGAAAAAATAAAAACCAAAGCTTAAAAGTAACTTTCATTATTGAGCTACAAAGAAAAGAAGAAATTCACTTGGACAAACAAAACAAATAAAATAGGAAAAATACAAAAAAAAGAGTAAAAAAAAAAGTGAGAATAAAAGAAAGAAAAATAAGTGAGAATAAAAGAAAAAACAATGAAACCATTTAGAAGCTTTGGAATTATTTTGTTCCAAAATTGCCCATATAATTTTTTTGATATATTGCTTAGTTGCGCTATTAAAGTAAATTGATGACAAGTTTTATTTAAAGTTATAGATTTTCAACTGGGTATTTTTATTTTGATAACTTTCTTTATAATCCTTTAATCTTTAATTTTTTAAATTAAAAAACATAAATCTCACTTATTATATATATTTTTTTAAATTCAAAAGATATTTATTGTCAATTTAAAATTTAAACATCCTAATTATCATCATGCATCTATAAATAGTATAAGGTGCAGAGTTTTTTTTATTTAATTTGTAACTTTTTTTTTAAAGATATTATTACTTTTATGATTTTGTTTTTATAAAAAATAATATTTATTTTTTACTTTGGTAACTTTCTTCGTAATCCTTTAATCTTTAATTTTTTTAAAATAAAAAAACACAAATATCACTTATTATATATATTTTTTACATTCAAATATCACTTACTACATTTGCATTTTATGTAAACCTTTTTTTATATAGTAAATTTCTCTTTTTTACTAATTAAACAATCAAATTTATGAAATGAATTTAATTAAAAATTTCAATGTCTTAAATACTTATTAATATATTTTTCTAAATTAAGATGGAGGTTAAAAAGTTATTTAAAAATTTTGTTGATAAATTATATTTTTTATTTTGGAATTTTTATATTTTTAATTTATGAAATTAAAAATCAAATCAAAGATTTTAACATTAAATATATAAATTTAATAAAAAATAAAAAAGAGAAAACATACAAATATTTAGTGATAAAATTTTTTTTTTAATTTACAAAAATTCTATGTAAAATTTTAATGAATTAAAATAAATATTATTATAAATATAAAAATTCCATGCATTTGCACGGATAAAAGACTATTTATATATAATCCCATCCTCTCCTTTTCTAATTATTTTTAAATGGTAAAAGATGTTTTCCATCCATAGTATTGGCATGTCCATCATCACTCATCAGGCCTCCTTGCCCTAACCAAAATCTATATCTTCAATATGACAAATTTGGAAGAAATAACAATAGCCAGAAGCAAAAATAACATAACAGAATTTTAGCTTTAATATAAAAAAATAATTATTCTTTCATTGGCTTAAGAATATACTATACAAAAGTGTCATAATTTAAATATAGAGGATTCTCATTAATTAAGAAAAAATTTATATCATATCATAATATCCTAAATATTATTTTAATTATAATATCGTAATTCTTAATAAGATTTTAATGTCATAAAAAATATATAATATACTATTTAAATTTTAAAAATTCTGACGTGATACTTAAACTATAAATTTTTTAATAAATGTAGTACTCACACATAACGTAGCTAACTTTAAATGATGACACATGACGCATAAATAACCTTTCAAATATCATATTAATTAATAAATTCATAATTTAGATATTATATTAAAGATTTTTCAAATTTATATATCATATTAAATATTTCACTATAATTCATAATATTAATCTTTCTTAATATTACACTTAGGCTATTAAATTACATAATATTACATTAATATTCTAACTTGACACGTGTCACAATCGACGCATAGAAGGATCTGCTCATTGTAAGGGCATGGTCGACCTCTAGTCACGAAAAAATCAGCTGTTTGATTTCATTTTGTCATCGTTTACCTTTGCCTTGGTCTCTTTCACTAGCTCTATTACTAATGGACTTCGGCATGGTTAATCCCAGAGTTATTAAGAGGTTGTCGGGTAGCCAATTGCATTCCCATAGTATCCTAATGGTAATGGAGGATTAAACTTGGAATGTGCATTTACGATGCAAATAATGCAAACATCTTCCAAATTGATTTTCATTTAGTTTTGAGTTTTGATACGGAGTGTCTTTAAAATTCTTTTTAAGGTTAGTTAATTTATTATTTATAGTAATAATTTTATATTAAATGCAATAATTGATAATTTTATTCATGATTTTCAATGCATGATATAAAACAATTCGGTTAGCAAAATTTTTATTTTTGTGTGTCACATAATTCTTATGCGTTTAAATCGTTATATTGCATATATTTTTTTTTATCAAAATTCTATTTATGAGAGAAAGAATTTTAATTCTACAACTAAGTTTAGTAGATAACACATATTGTTTAGGATATATTTAAAAAATAAAACAATTATTGTCAATGAAATATTGGTTTAATGGTAAGAAAAAAGTTCTAAAACTCGATGATATTAGGTTTAAGTTTCGATGTACATGAGTTTAATTATTTAGTTATTTTTTAATTTGTTAATTGATTATAATATAATAATAGATTATATGGATGCAATATTTGATTATGATTATAACTTATAAAAAATATTGTTTGTAAAATAAAAACATTTAATTTTTTCAACTTTTATTTCATAGTCAAATATGTAAATCTTGTGGCTATTAATAATTTGTAAAATGATTTAGAAAATTAAAATTAAAAATATATATTTTTATTAGTAAAATAACGTCCCACGTTAAATCGGGCTAAACTTAAAAGTTTGAACCTTATCCAACTCGAGTTGGGCTAGGCCTGTGGATCTGACAGGTTTCCCAGTCCATGACACCTACATGTGAACTCCCTACCCCAGTATATTTTGCTTCATTTGTTTGGCCAAGATTTAAAATTGCTTCTTTCTTTTGAGAAGGGAAGAAAAACAAAATTTCTCTTTGGCGGGAAAGAAAGTCCATGTAAGCTTAAATTCTCGGCAACCAACCACTCGAATTGGCAACCAAATGTCGACATTCGGTTACCCCATACTCTCTCGTGGCGATGTAATATCAATGCTGGCGGAGTCACAAATCGCCGCCGTCACCGACAACGATTTCAAGAATATCAAACCCAGTTTCGTCTCCGATCTTTACACCCGCCTCCTTATCTACCTCGACGCTCTCCACGAGTCCGCCCCCAGTTCCCCATAAAAGCAATTTCCTTTCCTTTTTTTTTTTTTTTCTAAAATAATAGTTATGTAATATATATATTTTTTTGCAGGGAAGGCCAAGGCCAAGGCCAAATTGAGTTTTCAGCATTGGAGCAATTTGAAAGCCCGGATCTCCTAATTGGGTCAATCCAGGTTATGAATTTGTATTGCAAGTTGAGAGAGGTGATGGCTTCTCTTAATTGTCCAATCCAATTTACCCTTAGGGATTTGGTTAAACCTGATCCTGGTCGGACCGAGCATTTCCTCAGTGGAATCCTCAATTTTTGTCTTTTTAAGTACGTATTTTCTGATTTTAAAAGTTTTGATTTTGATTTTCTTCCACTTAGTTGAATAAAAATTGGAAAATGTCGGATTAAATTGTTATGCCATTTAATGGTTAGGTTTAGAACCAAGAAATTAGTACTTAGGCCCCTTTTTGAAAATGTTATTATTACTAATTTGTGGATCCTTGTAATTGGCATGGCAAAGTTTAAATGATGTGTCGCATTCCTATTTGTTGGGATCATTGATGTAGCATTCCGATATATGAGGAATAATGATGTTAGGCATGATTTTTTTTAAGTAGTAATTTAGATTGAGTGGTTTTTAAACCATGCATTGAGAGATAACAGATGGGATTCGGAATTCCCGTCTTGGTTGTCCATACCTCACCTCCTTACAGTCTGACTTGGTTTTGCATAATGGTTTTTATGGGTTAGACTATGAACTCCTTGGTGATTATAAGAACAAATATCAAAGTGCAATTTAGAGAAAAGTTGTGGACAGTGTTTCCGGATGACCCATAAGGCAGCTTTTCCTTTGTTTAGGTTCTTTAACACTAATGCCTTTGGTATGAAAGCAGTGATTTGGTTAAGTAGAGAGCCTACAGGACAACCATTGGAGTGGATTTAGATATAAGCAAGTGGAAAGGTGTCTAGTGACCAATATGGCGGTTTTTCTTGGTGTTTGTGTGTGTGTGTGTGTATTTATTTATATTTAATCCCAATTCTCTTAGATTAGTCCTTTTCTCTAACTGCCTTTTATGATAAATTTGGTACTCTAACTAACATTTTGGCACAGTAAATTTCCTTTAATGAGTTTTCCAATCTTTTCCAGCCTTTTATGGATTAAGCTATTCTGTTTGTTGATGTCCATCTCAGAGAAACAAAAATGAATCTTCAGAGACCGATAATGGAGGAACTGGCCCTTCTAGATGAGCAGCGGAAGGAATGGGAGGCTAAGATTTCTCAGGTATTGGAAGAAAGACTTGTGATACTTTAGTGTAAAGATCAATTTTCACCATATCTCTGCCATGCAGTTCAATGCCGAGATTGCAGGTTATAGTGATGCAAGAGAAAGGGAGTTACCTTTTGTTCAAGAGGTAAACTCAAAAGTTAAAGAATTGTGTGAGATGATTGCTGGCCTCAATGGTAACCAGATGTCATTCAGAACTTCTTTTCGCAATTTGACGGAGAAAACTTTGCAAATAGATGAGAAGGTTAGAATGTTACCAGTGGCTCCTCACAAAAGCTTTATTTCACTGATGTAGTTATCCGGAAAGTGCTCAACTTTGTGAGCCAAGTTAACCTATATATGTTTTTCAAATTAAAGTTTTTATAGTGTTTGACATTGGCAAAAACATTTATACTCAAAGTTTCGACCATGTGTGTGCATAGATTTAGATCTGTGTCTATAAATTGCGGTTAACTAAAGAATTTTGTGCTATTTTTTGTCTATGTATTTTCACCTAAGTGCCCCATATCTTTGAACATAATTGATTTTTCATATTAGTGTTTGATCTAGGTTCCTATTAAAATGCTGAGATACATACTTTATATTCTTCATTTGTGTAGAGGATCTTCTTTGTTTCCTGGTTAAACCACCATTTGATCCTAATGTTGATTTCCTTTTTCCAAAATTTTTTTAAGATTTTAGGTTCACCATGATTTTTGCTTTTATGTGTGCATTATATTTTCCCATCTTTAATCATTAGTACCATTTATTATTGATGTTTATGGTGACATGCCTTTTATTTACAGATTTCTAAGGCTGAGTTTGACCTGGTGCAAAATGTCCAAGAGAATGCAAATCTATGTTCAAAAATAGTTCACTCACCAGATAAACTACAGGTGCATATTCCTTCTTATTAAGTTTCTGTTAGGTAATTATGGCTCAGACATGTAAAGGCATTGCTGTTATTGATTCTGATAAACTGAGTATATAGGCTGATGATACTTTTCTTATAAGGAATGCTTTTAAGTAAGAATGGAGAGTTTATTTATGTGTGGTTTATATTTTTATGTATGTATATTAGAATAGATAAGATATGATTTAGTTATTTATTTTTGTACAGGTGGTATTATGTACTTACTCTTTCAGTTTTGGTATTTGGGAAATTTCAACTACGTATTGATTTCCGTGGTGGAATGTTATTAAGTTGGGTGGTCTTTTAAAACCATAGAATTAACTTTTAATTTAGAGATTTGACACCAAATAGCAAGGTTAAAACAGGCGCCGGAAAAATTAATTGTTAAATACATTTTTTCTTCCACAATTTACAAGTTCTTTAATCATATGTGAAATAATTATGTTTAAACCATTCCCTAATTAGGTACTTTTTGTGATTATGTTTAAAACCAGAGTAAGCCAGTGTATGAGTTTCCAAAACACCTCCTCACTGATTAATAATGGAAAAAAGTTATTTAATTGATAAAAATCTATTTTTTATTGCTTGATTTGCTGATGCTTCTCAAATACTCCTATTTAACCTCTCACTAAAGTAAACATTTAAAATTGTTGAGATTGAGAGACATCATCCTATTCAAGATTGTATCAAGGGAAGTTGGAAGAATAAAATACGTGGGTGTGAATATGTTAGGCCTGTGATTCTCCAGTTATATCCATGGATATAAATTGGTCTGCAGTGTTTAAACTGATGCACATTATATGTAGCTGTCCTCTTTTTCATGACTAAAATGGTATCTGATATTCATGACTAGGCCATCTAACTTGGATAGAAGAGCATAAAATAGAATCTTGTTCCACTGAAAATTTAATTATTTTGTTAGCATATGTATGCATGTATACCCTGATTTTTGTGTTTGCTATCAGTTCCAGCTTGCTAATATTAAACCTGAAGTGACCTTTTTGTTACTACAGCTTTGTTGCTACCAAACATTAGATGTGATTCTGAAACTTTGGATGATTTTCTTTTCCTTTCTAGGTTGTATCAAGTCCTGTTATTTGCTATTACTTTCCTCCCTCACACTTTTAATTTAATCTCTATTTTCATCTTTGTTAGAACCGTGGAATACTTGCATGTAATATTTGACACCTTTCATTTCTGATTTCATCCTTCCAAGTGCATGTGTTTATATTTGTACCTTTTATCTACTATATAAAAATTCAATCTTCATTTAACTTTGGTTTTAGGCAAACAAGCGTATGGCATGTGTCACAGTCATACTCAGTATCTAAAGTTGTTTTCTTTGTTCCATAGTTTTCCATGACAGAGTAAATATAGTGCGAAGTCCATTTTTTCTATTAACTTGCCATGTTGATTAGAGTAGTTAATATGGTTTTCTGTTAAATTTGTCATTCACTCCTCTTGGATGGTATGACTTTCCTTTGTTGCACTAAAACATTAATCTCTATGTTTTGTTTGTTACTTTTTTTCCCTGACAGAGAGCTTTAGAGGAGAAGAAATTAGCTCGAGATGAGGCAATGAATGCTGAAAGGTTGGCTATGCAGTCTTTTCTGGAGAAGACTGCCACTGTTGAGGTCTATAGCAAGGTATGCACCTTGTCATAAACTATGATATCAGGTGTCAAACTGTCAGACTCTTATTGTCATCCATCTGAAAGCTGATTGGCTGTGAGAGTTTAGTTTGCTTGATCATATTCATTTAAATGCATTCCAACATATAATATAGAAATGCTGAAAGGTTCTTAATTTCTTGACCTTAATAGTAGTACAATGCTTGTTAATCTGTTTCATGTGGAAATTTAACGATTGCAAACCTCACCTTCTGTGCAAGATCCTGCTGTTTTACTCTTCGTCCTTGAAGTGTTCAATCATTTGTTGCCGATGAACTTCTTGCTTCCCTCTTTGGCTTTTGTATCCTGTATTCCTGAAAAAATCTGAATCATGTATTGCTCCTATAAGATTGGATTCTGTTGGGACTTGGGCCTTAGAAACCAGTTTTAATTATGCTATTGTTATTCAATTGCTGGAACCTAGTGGTCCCAGATTTAAAATTGCAGATAAAATATGAGCAGAGATGTATGGATGTTCACATGCATGCATTTGACTTATGGACAGATTGATCTACCATTGGGTCTTCAAACTGCCCTTAGAAAGCTTACTTGTATATTCTTTCATACTGTTAAATCTGAATTTTGTGTACTTATTAGCAATCAAAGTAAGCAACCTTTTTTCCTCTCACATATCAATAATAACTGGGTGACATAATGAGAATAAGACATAGTATACTTTTTTTTCACTAAACAAAGGTGACAAATATAACTCAAATAGCAGAAAGCTAAATATCTGGAAAAGCATTAACGTGCATGGGCATCTGGTCAACATGCATACATGAGGAACTTCATATGGTACAAAGAAGAATAATTAATTCTTGATATCCTCAGCCGTTGTTACAGGTTCTTGAGAAAAGGTCAAAGCACTTTGCCTTGATTCAAGCTATACATGAACAGGTACAGAGATGGTTGGCTACTTCCCTTTTGTGCTTTTTTTCTGAAATTGAGTAGCAATGTCTTTCTGGTCCACTTTTAAGTTTTTTGTGGCTTGTCACTTGTGGAACAAAATCCCCCTCCCCTCATTTCTCAAAAAAAAAAAAAAAGGAAGAAAGAAAGAAAAAAACTATTTCAGATTTTCAATAAAGTTTCAACTCTTAGAGCTCCTTCACCTTTAAAATATTAAATAACTAAGTTTTTCTCTTAAAAAAATGTTTTGATTTTTGAATTATAGCCATTTTACTTTGCCTGTGAACTACTCATTATGAAACGCAAAATACCTTTGTTTTTAACAATGTTCATTTTAATAGTTGAACTCTGCAAAATCAGTTGATAAAGAATGCAAGGGTTTGAAAGCTAAGCTAAGTGATAATTCTGTGTTAGACAAGTCACTTGAGGCTAAACTGATTGAACAGCAAGGAAAAGACAGGTTCTTATTCAAGCTATGTTGTGTTATTGCCCTTCATTTATAAACCACTACATAGGTGCTTAAACCTTTAGCTTTATTCTTTCACCAGTTGAACAGTTGATGAACTCCAAACGCAGTGACAAAAAGAAAGAGATCTCAAGTTTGAGGAATCTACTAAACATTTGAATGATGTGCAGTTGGAGGTGGAATTTAAGCGGTGTGAGCTGGAAGCAAGGCAAAAGAAGGTTGAAGATGTGGTAGCAGAGGTAATCCTCATGTCTTCTAATTCTATATGGTGCTAAGATGTCTCTACTCTCTACCTGCAGTTGCTCAACCTCTAAATTCCCCTTTTGTATTTCTTAAACTTAACAGGTGGACTCCATAACGTTAAAGACCAGCATTATAAAAGAATCTGGAGCTGCTAAAATGCAGCAGGTATTTTATTAAGTGTGAAGAGATTGTAAAACAGGTATTATATCGCTTATTTTAACCTTGAATCTGTCTTTACATGTGTGCTTATAATAAAAATTGAATATTTGTTCTATGGTTTATTCAACTGGTATAAAGTCTTTTAAACTAGGATTATTAGAAAAGCTCAATTATTAATAAATAAATTTATCAGAAAATAAAGAATTATTAATAAATAAATTTTCTTTCAATGTCATGGAGGATGTGAGATTTCAAAATCTGGCCTTCTAGAAGCATATGTATAAATTAAACTGCCAGTAATTGGATGAATTTTTTTCCCTTTTATCAACCATTGAAAGCTTTACTGTTATTATTATTATATTATTATTATTGAGCTATCCTCATCTATGTTGTCTTATGTTGAGTTCATTGTACATTTGAATATTTGTTTGTTTTTGTTCATATAAGAAGGCTTGAATTTTTTTAAACTCTTGAGCTCAAAATTGGTCCAAATGGTTATGTGGTTGCTGTTTCAACAATATTCATCCTCTATTGGGCTCCTGCTGCCAATGTTTGGGACAAAGACAACTTGATTGAGTAGCTATATATCCGCCTTTAACTTGCATTTTAGGAAGCCACTCGATTGTGAAATGCATTTTGTTCATGAAGATGTAAGTTACTATAAGTTTGCAGCAGAAAAAAAAAAAACGTATATATATATATATATATATTTGTTTTGGTGATAGCAGTGAAAATATATTGATATGGTCTTCCAGTGCTTCTAATTCTTATGGACTTTCCATTACTAAATGATGAAGAAGCATTTTCGATTTTGCGTATCTACCCAAGACAGTACTAACTTGTAACAGTATCACTTTTTGTGTTCTCCAGAAGATCTTTACGGTAGTGTTGTCCTAGTATGTTGCTTTATATGCAGCATAGACTGACAGCATTTAAACCTGCAGGCTTATGATAGTGATTGATAACATGGTTCTCTAATGAAAAACAGAATATAAATGTTAATGTTTCTGGTGAAGGTTGTGAAGCATATAATCCAAATTTAGTAGAATTTTTATAGTGCTTAGGTAATTTCACAAGTAAGCTTGTTATTGTGCTTGATTCCAAATTCTCAATGTCTTCACCTGATGAGATAACCTACACACATTACATATTTTTCTAATCCTATCATGTGGAATTTGTTAGTTTACTATTTATTTTAGATTTGAAGGGAAGCAAAGTTTCCAATGACCAAACATATAGTCATCAATGGAGCGCACATGAATTCTCATTGGAAGGTATGTTTGCATCATAGGCATGGAATATAGGTCTTTTCTTTTCTTCTGCTATGGATTCTTGGTGTTTTAATATCGTAGAACTTACTGGAATTCCCTGGCCAATGGTGTCAGTAGATGCAGCATGCTGTATTTGGGATTTTGATGCAACTTGCTTGTCTGATGCTTCATCTGGCTGTAGGATTTCTTACCAGAAAGACCGAATTATTTGAAGAAAGTTTTGGTAGGTCAAATCCTTACACTTGCTTGCAGGAAAGCTCTATGTTGATTGCAGTTGTATGGTAAATTTAGGCTTTATCAGGTGTTGGAGGTACTAATTGACATGAGCAAGGCAAGAATTCGCATACATGTTTGTCAGAAATCTAACAGATGGGCTTTGAGTGATTCATCATGGACAAGGTTTATGCTTATAGTTATATGGTGGCAGCCGCTGCTGAGTTGGATTCGTTTGCACTATCAGTAAGCTCGGAAGTGAGTGGTTTTTTGATCCTTTTTGGCAACCTGATTCCAGGGTGCTGTTAGCTTTGCAATGGATTGGAATTGTTAGTATTGTCTCATTCATTGAAGGCACAGTGGTTGCTTTTTCAATGATCAATTAGGAGTTATAGTAAGTGTTCTTTGTTTGGGATTTTGGACATATTAGTTTATTATGGAGATAGTAAGATACCCATTCGGACATAGGGGTGCAACTTGGGGCGGGTTTTATGGTGGATTCGATCCAAATTACTCGATTCATATACAACCAAACCTGCTCCAATCTGGACCCAACCAAACCAAGACCGATAAGGGGCTAGAAATATGACCTTGGGTCATAGGATAAATGAACATTATCATTTTCTTTTCTTTATTTTTTTGCCACTTTATGAACCTTTATAAAGTTGGCGTCTAAATTCAACAAAGATTATGGGTAAGAAAAGGGACAGAAACATATCTTGATTAATTAATGTTTTGAAACATGATTAGTGTTTTGGATTTAGACAAAGAACAGCACAAGCCGCATATAGCTGTTAGCCCACCTTTTTACGGGGGAAACGGAACACAATACTTAGGTGAGTTCTTTATCCTAATTTCCCTTTCACCAATTTTCAGTGCCGTTGTATATCATTTTCAATTTCTCTTCTACTTTCAGTACTTTATTTGCTTTTTAAATTTTATATTATTATCATTATTATTATTAAACAATAAAATAATATTTTATCAAAAATTAAAAGCAGTGGTTTGTGTGAGTTTTTTTAACGTTATATAAAGATTTTATGATAATTAAAATAAGTTAATTTTTAGTTATTGATATATTTTTTAATAAAAATAAAAATTAAAAGTTGATATTTCATTTTAAAAGTTTTAAGTTAAAACTTTAAATTGGACACAAGGAAATTTATAAAATAAATAATGATTATTTCTTTTTTTTATAATTAAAATCTTAGAGAGCAAAAAGTAAAAAAAAAAAAAGTAAATTTTTTAAATGATAATATTAATATAAATATAAGTTGTTCTATATACAACGAAATTTAATATATAGTTTGTCGTATCGAAGTAAAATGTTTTTTTTTTTTCATACACAATGTCGTGTGTTTTTTTTTTTTTTTTAAATTAATACTAAACGTTATTTAAATGAAAAGAAGGATTGAAATAAACTTTAATAATAATAAAGAAAATCATTTTGTTTTATACCTGTTGCCACCGCCAATTTCTGTTAATTGTTCTTGGGTCCAGTGGAAACAAATTTGCTGAGATGCCAATTTTTAAAAATAAGAAATATATTAATTGCCATTTATTTTCTTTTCTTTTGAATAAAATTTTGGTTTTGTTGATATATTTATCATTTTATTGTTGTCTAGAAAAAAAACTTTTATATGTTTCATGACATTAACAAAAACTTTATTCTCTCTTTTTTTTTAATTGTTATGGTAATTTGAGACATTAAATGATGATAAATAAAATGACAAAAAATATATAAATTTAAAAAATAAAAAAATATTTTATATTTTACTCATTAATACAATTGCAACATAATAATTTTTATATTTATACATAATTTGATATGAAAAATTTTTTGAATGGTCATATCTAAAAACCCTTTAACATTCCCACTTTATTTACAACCATTAACTCATAATTTTCATTAAAAAAAAAGAAAACTTTTCAATCTATCATTCTTCAAAGTTAAAAAACTTAAAAATAAATAAATAAATAAAATAATATTGGAGTGTATATAAGTAAATTATAGCAATAAATAGTTTTTTATTTTCCTGAAATGGATATTAACATGCCACTAAGGGCATAAAATCTAAGAAAAATACAAGGAGAAAAAGGTTGATCAGGTGCTCATCAAAACAAAATTAACAAAAATTTATAAAATAAAATGGAAAATGCCACTGTATAGTATTTCCGTGCCACAGTCCCATAAAAAAACAATTCTAAAAAGGGAAAAAAAAAAAAAAACTCCCATTTAGAGGAAGAAAGAAACACGGTGCCTTTGTCCTCAGACCAAATACTCTGTCTCTCTTTCTCTCTCTCATAAAAACACTTTCTCTTTCTATCTGTTTCTTCATCTTTTGATCTTTCGTTGTTGCGTTTCTTCTTTACAATCTAAATTTTTTTGGGTCAATTTCTTTTAAATCCAATTTGCTTTTTTTGGTGAGTTTTCGTTTTTTTTTTTGTTGCATGGTTTTTATTTATAATCTATAGAAAAGATTCAATCCTTTTTTTATATATAAAATTGGGTTTTGTTGATCATCTTTGGATCCGTCTGGACTTCCAATTTTCTGATTCTTATCTTTTTCGACTGTGAATGAGAGAAAATAAAATTAAAAAATGGGATTGGAGTCAGCTGGTGGGTTCCTTGAAAAATCACTGAAGTTTCAATCTTGACTTCAAAACTGCAATTCAATTACTGATCAGAATTGGGGTTTTTCTTGCCTTTTTCGTGTTTTGAGTGGTTTCTATTTTAATGGAGCTATTGGGGATAATAGTAAATTTTGGGGATAGGAAAGATTGATTCTTTTTTTGGGGGATAGCTATGGATGAGGTTGGTCCTAGTAATCAAGGAGAGCCTCAGGGGGCCTCAGAATTGGGCTCAGACGAAGGGTCTGCAGTACGGTGGCGGCCGAGGCAGCTGGTTTTTGGGCCTTATTCACCTAAAAATGAAGCTGATAGAAAGCTGCGTGTTGTTGTCAGGAGGCCTGTAAGTTTTCTTTTCTAATTTTCTGTTCATTTAGAGTTCAAAAGTTTTGTGGGTATTTGTTGGCATATTGAAATGTATAGAAAATTGAGGAGCTTTTGATTTGGTTTGAGTTTGAATTGGTATGGATTAAGAAATGTTCAGCTGGTTTTAGTTGTGGTTTGATTATTGATTCTGTTTTATGTGACACAGGAAAGCATATAACCAAGTAAACATATGAGCAATGTAGAGGCCAGAAGAGACAGTCCCTTACTGTCTCAATGGGCAGAGGGTAAATCTTAAATGTTTCACTAGTTGCAAATATATCATAGAAAAGAAATGAACATGACTGGGAAATGCTATACTTATTTCAGTTACTATAATGTACCTCGTCAGTATTCTTAAGGAGAGTAGGGGATTAAATCGGTTCCTGAAAGAAGGATGAACTGTGTAGATGCTAATATTTGCAAATTGATTTTAGATCCCAAGTTCTATCTACCTTGACAAGCCATCATTCAATGCATCTCATGCCAATATATGATGTCTATAAGAAAGCTAAAACTTGGGGAGAAGAGACACCATGAAGAATATGAGTCTCAATGGGGCACGATGCTTATTTGTTTTTCACTCACATTTTTTATCATTAATTTCTGCCTGACACTACCCGTGACAATATGGATCTCCGCCTATTCATTGAATGATCTATTGTCAAATACCTGTATTTGGCCCTTGGTATAGATGTCGTCTATTCATTTCTTAATGCTAAAACTCATTTGAATTGGCATTTGTGTTTTAATGTCTGAATATAAGATGCTGTTTGAGAAACTATAAGATTAAGCACAAATAATTAGAACTGAATTTATACTGTAAAAACATATGGCATATTGCTGAATATGAAATGCGAAATAGATCTTGCTTGGCTTATCCAAATGAGTTTTATATATATTTTACATCCAACAAGAAGTAAAAGAGTAACAAAAGAGAGATGCCAAAGGAGGAATCTTTTAGGGTGCATTTGATATAAAAGATAATGGAGAGAATAAGATAACATAACATGAACTATAAGATTGTATTATAGATCCTATCTTACATTAGATGTATGCCTGATTAAGGGTAGATAGGCTCAATTATTATCTTGTACCACGTTTGGTGTATCAAAGATATAGGATGATTGTTGTGCTTGGTCAAAATTTCCGCTTGTAGTTCCATTGTGTCTAAATACAAATATATAAAGAAGACTACTTTATGAGGAAAGTAGGAAACATGAAAAATACTATATCCATCGTATCATTCTATACCATAGGAAATAATCCTTCCTTTTTCTGTATGATGACTCATCTTGTCCTTCTGTTAAAGGGAACGCCAAACACCAGATAGGATATTTTTATCGTATGCTGTCAGTCATCCTGCGCACCAAATGCACCATCGATATGTAGTTTTAATGTAGTCAATCTATAGAAAAAACATTTTGATGAAATGCCTTAAGTAGATCTCAGCCACTTAAATTTCAAAACTTTTTCTCTTTAAAATATTCTATTAAGTGTTTGCATAATGGGGTATCCATTCGCATTGAAAAATTACGTAATTGAAAATTTTAGTTTTCAACACTTTATTTGGTTACCAAACTGCAATATAGTGTTTGCACTGACAATTTTTTTCCCATCATTTAGCAAGTTTGCAATAATCTCCTGACTTAGATTCATAGAAGGAAAATCTTCGTGCTGACATGCAGCTTTAACTGTGCAGTTGGTGGCAAGACTGACAAAGGACATAATTGAAACGTACCAAATATGCAATCCACAATTTAAATATTCAGAAGAATTGAACCCAAAGCGGTTTTTGACTAGCCCATCTGTTGGTGTCCTCAATGATGGCTATGACAATGTGAACTCAGATCTTATTCTAACAGTGAACTTTGTCTTGATCAATTTAGATACACAGCGAAGGTTTGTTACTGATTTTTATAATTTTTGTCATGATGTTAAACTATAATTTTTGAAGCATTTCTTGTAGTTTTCTTTGCAAATTGACCTCACATGGGCATTGTGGATTTTCTTAATGGTGGAATAAAGATGGTTGCTCTTTTTCTTTCTCTAAAATTTTCATTTGTGCTGCTGCTGATGGCTAGTTGATGCTAAACTAAAATGGACTATTTGTTGACTTTGATGTTTGAGAACAGATCATGTTGAACTGCATATTTGATTCTCATTCATGTGACAAATACCTGCTTAGTTTCTGGCTTGTGAACTTTGAACCTTGGCATGTTGGAATTAGTTATATGTCTGTATCAATATGGAGCTTTTGGTTTGCCAAGCCTTGAAGAGTTTCAGTTTTAAATTTTTAATCTATGTATCTATCTGGTCTGTTTCTTCTTAAGTCTGGCAACAAAGAATACTTTTTTGATTTTGTTCTCTTCACAACCCAGCCAAAATGCTGTGTATTCAATGGTTTCGGGTACTGAGGTAGAGTTTGTTATAAAGAGACCAGAGTTGGGGCTGGGTAAGGACGAGGCTGCGTTGGCTCTATTACTGACAAGTAAAAAGCCAGCTCATGCTTAGCCAAGCAATTCTGGCCTTCTGGAAAAAACTGTAATCATTTTTTAGTTACCATATTAAATAGGTAAGAAACCAATTTCAACTTTAGGTTACTGTCTCCTGATTGTTTGATGTGCTGGGTATTGTTATAGTTCAGTAAAAACACCATGAGAAAATTTTGCCAAAACTGGGTGACCTATTTTGGCCTGTACATCTACAGGTGAACTTGTTAATTTTTTTGGCTTGGTTGGGTGGGTTGTGCTGCGAACAGGTCTGCTTTAGTTGTGACTAGTGTGGTTTTAGAAAAAAAAAACTGTTTTCAAGGTGTTTTTTCTATGTATTGAATACATTTCATGTTTTATGCATATCCGGAGCAGGCATGGTTGTTGTTGACTTGCATAGTTCAATTCTATATGCTAATTATTTTACCTGGTTATCAATTTTGTTTTTCTCTTAATGAGGCACCAAACTTGTTAGTTACTGCAATTCAAACAATATTATCCATTATGAGAAACAAAGGATAACACTGACCATTCAAAAAAAAAAAAAAGAAAAAAGAAACTAAAGAAAGAAAATGAGCAGATAGTCATGAAGGCTCAGGCTGTCAGGCGTTTGGTAGATTCATGGATATGACAATGTAACTAAAAAAAAATATCGCTGGTGCTCTATTATCATTTAAAATTAAGCTTATTGAAGGAAGCATTTACTCGTGTTTTAATATTTTCTGTAGATATATTGTCAAAGATGTTCTTGGCCATGGGACTTTCGGGCAGGTTGCTAAATGCTGGGTTCCAGCCACAAGCTGTTTTGTTGCTCTGAAGATAATTAAAAACCAACCTGCTTATTATCAGCAGGCACTGGTTGAAGTTTCTATTTTGACAACGGTAATTAAGTTTTCTTGTAGCTGTATGTATCCTTCTTTTAGAAATACCAATAGTGAAACATTGTTGTCTTTGCATCATTGTGTGCCTTTTGCAGTTAAACAAAAAGTATGATCCGGAAGATAAGCATCACATTGTCCGTATTTATGATTACTTTGTTTATCAACATCATTTGTGCATTTGTTTTGAACTCCTTGACACAAATCTGTAAGTAATTTTATCGTCTTACAATGAATCAAGATTCATCATTTGTAAATTTCTTTTAACCTTTACACAGGCACATTTTTTATAGATTTTTATGCAGCATGTTATTGACATTTTCCCCCTGATCTAGGTATGAGCTTATCAAGATAAATCATTTTAGAGGTTTGTCATTGAGCATTGTTCAGCTTTTCTCGAAGCAGGTATTTGCAGTTTGAATTTGGTTCTGAGCTGAATCATGTTTGGGCTAGCTGTAGACATCTCTTTCCAATTGTCTTTTGACTTGCATATTAACCTTTTGATTTATATAGATTTTACGTGGACTGGCTTTGTTAAAAGATGCTGCAATAATTCATTGTGATCTTAAGCCAGAAAATATTCTTCTGTGCACAAGGTGAGTTGCTTTTTCTGGATTAGTCTGGATTACACACTTATAATATATTTTCTTTATTCTTTCTGGTGAAGTTTGATATTTCTGTCCTGGAAATAACAGTGTCAAACCAGCAGAAATTAAAATAATTGACTTTGGATCAGCTTGCATGGAAGATCGGACTGTTTATTCCTACATTCAGGTTTCCATCCATAGTATAACTTGTTAAACTGTTTTATCATACTCAGAAGGATCTTATAGCTGCATTTTCATCTTCTGCAGAGCCGGTATTATAGGTCTCCTGAAGTTCTCCTTGGATATCAGTATCCTTTAGACACGAATTTATGGCCTTACTCTTTTCTATCTATTGATTTTGCTTTCTGCTTTTGTCTTTCATTGGATCATTGTGTTGTTTCTTTCCTTGTAATATCTCTTCTCATGTCCAATGTCTTGCTAGATTGGAACTTTGGTGGAATAAACTTCAGCGGAACTTAGTTTGACCTAACAAATCCACAGGTTTAAAATGAACCTTTAGAGTTAAGGTAATTTGTCATGTAAAAAAACTGAATCCAACCTTTGAACCATCAGTGCTTAGGTTCATTATCAGTGCAACAAATTGAACCTAACCTTTATGTGGGTGTGAATATGTTGAAGTAGTTCCTGGCTGATCTCACAACTTATTGCTTCAATTTATTTTGTTTTATTTGTCGTGTTGAATAATAATTTTTTTTTACTGCTGAGTGCTGACTTTCATTAGATCCCTTTTTCTTTGTCTTTGAACACGTTTCAAGGTGCATATCAGCTGTTTGATCTGTTATAAGTATCACATAGGGTAGGAAGTGCGTAAAATATCAGACATTAAAGATTTCTTATCCCAGTTCAAGCAACCATATCAAACTCTTCCTACTCCATCAAATTTGACTGGCTTGATGCTTGAGTTAAGCATTGCATATGTCAAACAGATATGGTTGGATTTCACCTTGACTAGGTTGTTCAAAGCATTATTTTTGGCTTGACTGCTTTTGTCCTTATTTTACTCAATTGAGTTATCTCATTTATTACTGAGCAATGATAGATGAACAGGAAAGAAAAGGGATAAAGGTAGGTCTGCATTCGTTGTTATATCTCAGAGCATCATTAAGGTATTTAACTCTAGTGCCTGGATGATAACAATTAATATAATATAACATTTGAAACTCTATCTAATTTGGCATAATAACTTATTTGTTTGAATATATGCAATATAACTCAGATCTTTGTATTTCTATTTGAAGATGATCTCTTTGAAAAAATGACATAGAAGATTCGGTTTTCTGTCATATTGCTGTTGTCTTTAGCTTGCTGCAACCTATATAACTTTGTATTAATCACATATCTTCTAGTCTTTGGTAGTATAATTAAATAACGCTCATTCAAAATGTTTGATGATTATAATCTTAATTCTGTGGTCTTGATTCATTATAATCTTTGATGATTAGATACCTTAAGTCTGATTTCCGTGTCTATGGTCATGATTGTTTGTTTTAGTTTGACCCTTGATCCTTGTTCAGATATACGACAGCTATTGACATGTGGTCCTTTGGCTGCATAGTTGCCGAACTCTTTTTAGGGCTGCCGTTATTCCCAGGTGCTTCAGAATTCGATATTCTAAGGCGAATGATTGAAATACTTGGGTATGCCTCTTGCTTTGGTGGTGATACATCTCTGGCTAATAATTTCTCTGTATTTCTAGGCATCATTTTCTTGTGACTGACTTAGGAATAGCTCTACTTTGGTTGATTTGATAGGAGGATACCCGAGCAGGTAGTTTCCGTGTCCAATGGAAGAAGTTGTATAAGTAGTCACTTATCATTAAATATAAGCATGTGCAATTGCCAAATTTCATACTCCCTCTGTCCCTTCGTTTTTGATACCATAGAAATTCCAGCATTCAAGGCAACATGTATCTAATGCTTTTACAAGTTTATAGATTTTCATAATAAAAATTTTCCCTATATTAAACGACAATGTACAAGAAAAGAGAAACAAAATTTTGCTTTGATTTTTCAAAATAGAAAATATCTTTTGACATTGTAAATTGAAAGTTCAATCTCTCTCTTTCTCTTTGATTTCTGTTATTGCATCTAAAAGTATCATAATGGCAAGGCAGATCCTCTAAGATCATTCTTCTCTTAAATTAGCAAGAATACTTATTACAGAGATATATATGTTGTATAAGAGATGAGATAATGTTGCAGTTTAGGACTTTTATAAGTTTCTGATTGATGTGAATACTCTAAATTTATTTCTTGTCATCTAAGAACCTCTGAAGGATGTTCTAGAATTCTGCATATGTCCTTGAGCTTTTTGGAATGTCTTCTTCTGTGAGTTCCTTTTGGTGGGTTGAACACCACATTAGATCCTTTGGTTCATACTGGAATTTCAGCATATTTAACAGACTATAATGCCTTATTTTTGTATGTGTCAAAAGTGAAAGAGTTAAACACACATTCAGGTAATTTGAGCTGGTGATCTGACTGTCCTAGGAGAGTAGTCCAAAATAAATAGTTTCTGTCCACTAAAACAATAAATAGAAGTGCCCCTGGAATACGCTGTGCACTAAAGTTATATTGGAACTTTGGGCTAGAATTTAGTTATCTAGCTCATTTAATTCATGGAAGTTCAGAATTTTGCATGATAATATGTGTTCCATCTTTAGAATTTTCAAATCCTTCCTACTTGATTTTCCTTGAACTAGGTTTAATCAGTTGCTGTTTCTTAGTCATTCTGCTATTTCTTGCATTGAATGTAAGTATCATGTTCTTAATGTTTTCATACAGACTTCCATTTCCCATTTATTTCCCCTTATCCCAAATACACCTGGTTACTATTAGATGATAAATTAAAAATTGTTTTTAGCACTCATTACCCATTCAGTTAGTTGTATTTTTGAACTTGTCATTCTGTAGAGAGCAACCCCCTGATTATGTTCTAAAGGAGGCAAAAAACACAACTAAGTTCTTTAAGTGCATTGGGAGTATCCACAATATAGAGAATGGTGAAGTCTACATTGGTGGTAGAAGTGCTTACCAAGCATTAACAGAAGAAGAATATGCAGCTGTAAGTGATCGTAGTTGCATTTTTTTAAGAAAACTTCATGAAAAGTAGAAAAAGAATAGAAATTCTATATGACTAGTTCTTGTTATTTTTTATGTTTTTACATCTCTTGTCAAATGTAATTTTCTTCATCCAACAGTCAATTTTGCTTGTTTCTGTTTAGAGGGAGTTAAAAAAACCATTGATTGGGAAAGAGTATTTCAATCACAAGAACCTTGAAGCAATTGTTGCAAACTATCCTTACCGGAAAAACTTGCTTAAAGAAGATATCATTAAAGGTTAGCATTTAACTTCTACATTGGATGTACAACTTGGCATGGTGCAAAAATGTTTGACAGTGTGTGACTACTCTCTGTTAAGAACTTACTAAGGCTATTGCATAATGAATCTATAACAGAGAATCAAATACGATTAGCTTTGATTGATTTCTTGAGGGGACTGGTTGAGTTTGATCCAGCAAAACGGTGGTCTCCTTTCCAGGTAGTTGAAACTTATGTTGAACACTTCTTTATCATGTCATTCCAACTAAATATGAGGCGATAGTTAAGAGTTCCAACTTCATTGTACAGGCTTCAAAACACCCTTTTGTTACTGGAGAACCTTTCACTTGCCCGTACAGACCTCCCTCTGAGACCCCTCGCTTGGTAAGGGACCTATGCATGTAGCTCTGCAATTGAAGAAGCTTGAACTGTGTGTCATAAATTCATATGAACTTTGTGGCCTTTATTTCAATGCTTGGCACCATACATACATTGGAATTTGCTTGGTCCTCTCCAGATTTCCATGGTAATTGGTTGTTTATTCTTAGTTGCAGGGTGAAGTCAGAAATTTTACTCTGGGGGGCTGATGTAAAAGTAAGATGAATTGATAAAAAAAATCTAATAAAGAGCATTAATGTTAAATAAAAAAGTATATATTTCTTTTCATGGCTAAAAGAAATTTATTGAATATTTAAAGAACAATTAAAATCTAACTAATATTTTTTTTTAAAAAAATAATGAACAAAAGTAATACATTAAAAAGTTGAGTTTTAGAAATGAAAAGTTCAGTAAAAAATAAAAAAATAAAATTTATAATGTACAATTAAATTGGTCATTTTATGTGCACAGCATAACTAGGTAGCTGAATTTTTTTAATTGTATATTTATGTCTATATAGAAAGAAATAGTTTGACATAATGATTAATGTCAACATGTTTGTTTAAATAATTGAAAAGAAAATTTCATTTTAAGGAACTAAAAAATTCAATGAAATAATAATGATTACAATAAACAAGGGTAAAATTTTTATTGAGAAAGGAAAGAAAATCAAATTATTTATTGCACCTAAAAGTAAAAATTTTAATAACTCATGAAATTTATTATTATCATTACAATTTTTCTAAAGAAAGGGCCAATATTAATTTTTTGGAGGGCCAAAATATTATTTTTACCATTTTTTGGGTGAAACTATACTTATGCTATGGAGATTTTGAGGAACTAAAGTGGGGGGGGGGGGGGGAAGGCCCCTTCCAGCCCCCTTCTGGATTCGCCCCCTGCTTAGTTGATTGGTCATTTATGTATTCTTCTGAACACCAGTATGATCTTACATTATATTCTAGGCACTTTTTCTCTTATTTATAAAAGGTTGTAATAAAACTTTTGAGGTTGTTGAAAATAATTTGACATGTGAAATCTTATCTTAGAGTTCTGTACTTGTTTAAATCATGAAAGATTTTAGCAATCTTTTGATGAAATTTCAATTTCCATTTTATTGTCTTTCTCTTTATGTTGTGTGTCTGCAAGCATAAAATTCTTTCGGCCGCTGTGAAATATTTGGCTTTATAGGTCTTCTCATGGGTTGAGCTGTTTTTCTGTCATAGCAATCCTTTCTTTTTTGGATCACAAGCTTTATGGAAGATAATACTAATCTGCTATTTTCTGGGCAAGAAATAGAGGAAATGATACTTAGTAATTGTCTGGTGGCTTTTTGTTTGGTAGCCTGTTGCTCAAAACATTAAAGTGGACCATCACCCTGGCGGAGGGCATTGGTTTGCAGCTGGTCTTTCCCCTAATGTGAGCTTCCGAATGATCTAGCATTTTTATTGCTAGAGTAGTCGACTTACTGCAATATTTTACTAATAGTCTTATACTGATGTATATTTTCCGTTGTGTAGATTCCAAACAGGAACAGAGTTGCCTTTCATAACAGCCCACACTTCCCAATGGTGCCATATGGTCATGCTAATAGCTATGGCAGTATAGGAAGTCATGGTAGCTATAATGATAATATTGGGCTTGGAAGCAGCTATGGTAGTTATGGAGATAGTTCTAATATGTTTGCATATTATTCTCCTGTTGGTCCATCTGCAATGAACATGCATGCACAGAGTGGTGCATCAATGTTTGGAAGTAGTCCTGATGCTAGACTGAGAATTATGCAGTACTCTCATGGTAATGGACTTGGTGTGAGTCCATCAGCTGGAAACTTTGCACCCCTTCCCCTTGGCACTAGTCCCTCACAATTTACTCCTCCAAGCTCCTACAGTCAAGTTTCAGGTGGGTCTCCTGGACAGTATGGTCCTACTTCTCCTGCAAGAAACAGTTGTCAAGGGTCACCTTTGAGTAAGATGGCTGCAGCTGGTCAGTTTAATAGAAGAAAAAGTTGGGGATATTCTGGTAGTTCCCAATCTCAAGAGAGTTCATCTTCAAACTGGCAAGGACAAGTAACTGATGGCACCATTTCTAGCCAAGCTGAGGGAAACTCTCAAGTGGTCGGTGGTCTGCCCTCTCATATACAATCAAATTCTAACACAGCCAACTGGAAGCAACAGCGAGGTGGCATTGGAATCGCTACAGGTTACTCAATTGTTCAGAATATACCCAACTCCATAGGACTTGGTTCTAATGTGCAACTGCAGCATAGCACAGGAGGAACTCAAGACAAGTCAGAGGCCAGCATGTCATTGCCTGATCCTGCAGATTGGGATCCAAATTATAGGTGAGAAGAGAACTTGCAATTGCAGTCTAAACTCATGTTCATCAAATATTAAGATATATTTGTCTTACCTGTGTTGTATGTGTTATTCATATCTGTTAATGTATAAAAAATTGTCTGTTGTCATTCAGACAACCATAAATTTAATGGTATGTACTCTTCTTTACCCTCTCAAGGGTTAGTTGGGTGCCAACATGTGGGGCCCGCTGCTTGCAGCAACTGGCTCCTTGTTAGGCTCTGCTGCATGCTGCATGCGGCATGCTGCCTAAAGGTTGGAGACCATTCCTTAATATACTGATGTTTGTCATGTAATTTAGTAGCCATCTTTTTGTCCTTTTCAGTTCACTGTCACATACGAGTATTTCCTTATTTTATCATGCTGAATTTATGCATTTATTCTGTATAGATTGCTTGCTGTTATAAAATAAAAAGATAAGGATTGAGAGAATGGGAGCATCTTGATACACTCATAGACAAAGTTTAATCCTCTATGCTTATAATGTGTTGAAGTATGGTTTTCAGATGGTAATAAATTGCTCTCTTAACGCTCTCCCTTCATGAGGAGAGTGGATATTCGTCATGCCTACACAGATCTGAAAATCATTCTTGCAAATAGTCGCACAACTTATGGTAGCATGTCATAACTTGCTTCTTTGTGTTATGTTCGAACTAAATTGATCAATGGCCTGAATTTCACAAAATACTAGGTTATTAGCCCAGTGTTCTAATGATTATCGTAAAACATGCTCATAGGTGATTTGTCAGATATTCCATACGCTTCTTTGTCCCTCAAAAATCTTACATGCTGCATCAGGAATTCAGGATACTCCTAAACCAGATCTAGTTGCAATATTTGGCTTCTTGCTGCTTCCATAACAGAGTTGCCTCCTTAGAAAGTGCAAATACCAAAGACAAGTTCTTATAACTTAGAAAATATAAGATGCTTAACTGTACTATTCTTCATTTGGATCATTTATCACCCCCAACCCCTGCACTCCCTACCACCCCCCCCCCCCAAAAAAAAAAATCATTTACACATGCCTCCTTTTCTGTAGGTTGATATGCGATTTGCAAGTAGATGGAATTTTTGTCTCTTTATTATCATAAGTTTTTAAGTAACGCTAATTTCTTGCCATCTTTATCATCATTGTATCTCTATGTTGTTATGTACCAGATTATGGCTTTGGTGTTATATATCTAAAAGCCTTTTTTTATTTTTATTTTTTTCAATTTCTAACTAATTGTTGAAAGTTTTAGTAACTTTTTGCCTGCTGCTATTAGGGATTCTAAGAGCTTTGTAACATAGGCTTTTTGCTGTGATATTTATTCTACAATCTTTTAACTCCTTATATTACTTGCATTTATTGTCACCACAGTGATGAACTTCTTCTGCAAGAGGAGATATCAGATGAGAGCTGCATATCAGCTGACTTTAACAGGGGAATGCATATTGGTTTGGCTGATTCGTCTGTTGGAGTTGGAAGATTCAACCGTACCTCATCCATCAGCTCAAATTTATCAATTCAAAGGTAATTGCGCATCCTTCTTAGTGAATGGTTTTACTGAGGTTTAATCCTTCTGCTAATGCTTGAGGAGTGGGAGGGAGAAGTTAACAGAGGAAACAGATTTCCCTTCGCTCAGTTGTCTTAGTTGCAAAATATATATGTTAAATTAATTATTATAGTAATTTTCAATTGTCTTTCAATATCATGTCTGGTATTGCTTATATGCATGCCTTTTATTTCCCCTATTGAAAGTTATAGGGGCATATATGTTCCACATAATTGAAGCAACCCAAGATGAGTCGTGCATTATGGAGATGGATATGCACCATAATGTTAAAATATCTCAAACATACAAGATCAGAGCTTTTGTCTTTTGTTGAAATGTATCATCATTGTTCTTAACTTCTTTCTATATTGTTCGAGTACAGACAAAATGGACCTATAGGATTTTCACATGTAGAAGTGGGTAGCCCTCCTTCAGCTAATGATATGCATGCTGGACATCCTCGTTTTATGTCAAAGCATTCTCAATTCATGCCACATATGACACAAAATTCTCCTAGCCGATTGGGGCAGCAAACTGTTCACCGGTTCAATCATGGGAGATCCACTGGTGGTAGGGGTAGCGAATGGAATCATGTGAAAGTCCAGCTCCCTCCTTCTAGCTTGAATTCTGGGGGCCCACGTTCTCCTGGAAATAGTTCATTCAGTAATGGCATGCCATGGGGTAATTCCTAACTTTACACCATTAAACTAGTTTTAGTTGCCTTATACTCTGCTTAGTAATTTCATAGAGCTATGTAATTATTGTTGGATAATTTGGGTTTACTTGATCCTGGCATTGTTAATGTAGGGCGTAGGGCCAATCATCCCGTCTCAAATATTCCACCAGCATCTCGTGGAAGAAAGGACTATGGAAGGATTGCCTAATGTTGGAATCAATTTGATTTTTTATGGCGTGGGATTATGTATTGGGTGTTTGGCAAGAAATGTGTACTCAATAGTTCACTTAATTAGTGGGCTCATTATAAGCAAATGCTCATCCAGACCATGCTCATTCATTATGCTTTGCATAAATATAATTTATGGTGGTTGTTTTGCATGTCTTCCCATCAATTTGCATGCAATTGCTATTCTTGTGGTTATGATGCTTTACTGGTCTTGTTCCTTGCTTGTATATCCATAATGCTAGATTTCTAAAATTGCTTTTTAACCTGTTTGAGAAATCTAACCATGTTACTGAGAATGCAGCTGCTGCTGACAATTACTCAACAGGAAGCTCAGGTCTGTGCCAATGTCTAGACTTTGGAGTATTGGAGTAGCGATACAATATATTGTATATGTGAGAGATGTTGAAGCTGAAATTCTTCCTTGTTTGTTGTGCACTCTTGGCGATTGGAGGAACTGATTTTTTTTTGCTTGAGATAGATAGATAGCTTATGTAGAGATTCTCCAAGCTACTAGCATAACCCCGTCATCACCTCAACGTACATCTTTCTAAAAATGATATGAGAAGAGAAAATATATTATGTTTTCGGTTGATGAGGAAAAACGACGGACATTGGCTTGTGCTGTGATGCTCTGCCCTTTGTTGTCGGAAACCCCAAAAATGCTTTTTCCTATCGAGATTTTCTGTGACCGTTCCCTGTTAAGCATGGCCGCAATCGATTTCACAGGCAGCACGTCCTTTTAGAGGTAGGCTATGAGGTAATGTCTTCGAAAAAAAAAAAACTACTATATTCAAGGCGGAAGTTTCTCATTACTAGAACAAGAAACTTATTGCAGGCATTTCACGGTATTCTCCTTATGGAAAATTTTCTTCAATTTATTCAATTTTTTTTAATGAAATAATTTGCAATCTGAGATACATAAAAGATTATGGATGAATTTGTACATAAGATTATAATAGGATAAGATTAGATAATATTATAAATTAAATTAAATTAAATAGTATAATTTTATTTTATAATTAATACATAAAAAAAATTAAGATAAGATAATTTATTTATTGAACAAAATGATTTTTTTTAATTTTGTGATGTAAATTTTAAATGTATAATAAAATATATATGTGCAATTTATGGATTAAAAATATTTTTTTTATTTTGAAATAATTAAATCATCCTATAATTAATCTTTCTTGAAATTTTATCCTTTTTTAAATATAAATTAAATATAATATAAAATAATTAAAATTTTATTCTATCTATTATCTTATTTAATTTATCACACATGACTTGTGGTGTTGTGATTTAATCCTAAATATATTAAATATTATTTTTTAAAAATAATTTTAAATCAACTGGATTGAATTTTGGATTTTTATTTGTTATCTTTTCTTTTAATACACCTAAAAAAATTTTCTTTATATATAATATATATTTATAAAACATTTGTTTCAAATTTCCAATGATTTTGACAAATTTTATACTGAATAAAAAACAAAATAAGTACTACTAATAGTACTATGATTTTTTTCTTCTTTTTTGGGTCAGCCCGAAGCCCATGGGCCTAGTAGTTGGATTTGTGGGCCTGTAGTGGGCTTCTAGGCTGGCGCCGCAACAGACTAAAAAGGATATGGTTTATTTAAATTATTATAATAAAAATATAAAATAAATAAACAACGTGGGCTGAAGCGCACAGTTATTGGGAGGAGTGACGTGGAAGGTGGGACCCACAGTTCATTGATTTTTGCTCAAATTTGTTGGTGGTTTGCGGTGAGCCGGTGGCCAAACCAATCTCCAAATATATGAAAGAGATTAAACTGAAAAAGCAAAAACAAAAAAAACAAAAAAACAGAGAGAAGGATTAAAAAAAAAAAAGACGGATTGAAACAGAGAAAAGAGAAACAAAATGGGATATGCACCACTCAAACAAGGACCCATATCCGTTGTAGCCAATGGAATCTCTCCTTCTAATATCCTTTTTGTTTATTTGGCACCTTTTTCCTTCCCACTGATCCTATTATCAAAACCCAACATAACCAAAACAAATAAATTTAGAAACTAAATCCCAAAAAACTTTTGTTTTTTTTTAAATAATAAAGAAGAATTAAAAATAGAGCAGCTTGTAAAAAACTGTGGAAGGCAGGTTCCAACTCTAACAACCTCTTGTTTTTCTAACTGTTCTAGTATCCACTTTGGAACAACCGTCTTCTTTTTCTCCTTGTATTTCTTCTCCTTGGTTTCTTCATTTGCTTCTTCTTTTAGCTTATAGCTGGCAGCTTTTTAAGGTAAGCTTTGGATCAAATATTCATGTTTTTCTTTCTTCTTCCATTACATGGACATGGGTTGTTGAATTTTGTTGTATTCTTGTTGTTTTTTATCATATCAAGTAAAACCACAGAATTTGAGATGAAAGAAATGGAAATTTGTTCCATTTGCAGTTATGGTTTGCAGTATGTTTGATGAATATGAAGACTTACCTTTTCCACAAAATAACTGAACTTTGTGGTCATTGGTTCAATCTAGTGAAAAGAAAAGTTGGGTTCTGCTTAAAAATCTTTTTTCTTTGATTTGAAGAGTGATAACACTACCATCCTAGTTTGTGGTTGTTTCTTAAGATTATATGGTTTACAAGCTTGAAAATTATATTTAAAAGTTTTGGTAAGAAGATTAAAAACAAAAAGAATGAATGAGTTTCCAGTTATCTTGAAAGGGTATTTTGATTTTCCGGTTTCTTTGTAATTAAACTAGTTTTAAATCTTGAAGCATCAGTCATTTAAAGCTTTAAAATGCTTATATATTATATCAGTTATAGTTGTGTTCACATGGCTGTAGGATCTTCTTCTTTGGCATGTCTGCCACATGCTTTAATATTCTCCTACAGCTAGTTTAATTTTGTGAAATTTTCTTTAGGCCAAATCATCATGAGCTACATGTTTCTGGAATCTATACTTGAATTAGATAAAACTGTATGTTGCTTATTGGGAAAAACCAATGCTATTATTCCTTTTCTTTTTTTAGTTTAATTTTTCATTTTCATAAATTTTGGTGTATTTAAAAGAAATCATCCTAACATTTTGTACCCTTTCTGTAACAGTGTCATAAAGGAGATTTACTGTACAAGAGAACAATTTTGTTTAGCCTAGTTGCCTAGGGAATATACAGTTGAAGAATTATAGGAAATTTTTTTAAATTGACAAACTGGTTGAATTGTGTGATAGTAACTGTACCAACGTGAGAAGCTATATGATGGCCACAGCTGCTGTGATTGGACTTAGCACTGGGAAGAGACTCTTGAGTTCTTCCTTTTTTTATTCTGATAATACAGAGAAGCTCTCATACGCCAGTGATTACGGATCTTCGTATTATCAAACTTCTTCGACAAAAAGTTTAGTAGTAGCAAAAAAATTATCTAATTGTAGCCAAAGTCTTCCATCATCCAATCGGCGTACTCGGTCAATTAAAGCTCTTAAAGAGCACGTGGATTCTGCCTCCGTTATTTCAACTGTGGACCCTTGTTTTCAGGGATTCAATGACTTAGAAGAAGAAAGCTATGATCTTGACTACTCTGTGGAGGCTCTTCTTTTGCTTCAGAAGTCTATGCTGGAAAAGCAATGGACTCTTTCTTTTGAGAGTACAGTGTTCACTGAATCACCAAATAGAAAAACTCACAAGAAGATACCCGTTACTTGTTCTGGGGTGTCTGCTCGGCAACGAAGATTAAATACTAATAGGAAAATTCTGAGCCAAAATAAACTAATGATACAACCTAGTGCTAAGCACCTAAGATCACTGGTCAGTCCAGAGCTGCTTCAAAGTCGTTTTAAGGGTTATGTGAGGGGTGTAGTAAGTGAAGAGTTGCTCGGCCATGCAGAAGTTGTGCGCTTGTCAAAGAAAATAAAAGCTGGACTTTCCTTGGAGGACCACAGATTAAGGTAATGATATATGATGTGTATTAGATGAATCATTCTAATTCATAAAATCATTGAATTCTTGAAATTCATTTATACTTGTTGCGCTGAAATTCTAGATTGAAGGAGAGACTGGGGTGTGAGCCATCCGATGAACAGCTTGCAACTTCCTTGAAAATTTCTCGTGCTGAGTTACAGTCAAAATTAATTGAATGTTCTTTGGCTAGAGAAAAATTAGCAATGAGCAATGTTCGTTTGGTTATGTCGATAGCTCAAAGATATGATAACATGGGTGCTGAAATGTCTGATCTTATTCAGGTAATTTATTAGATCAACTGCCTTATATACATGGTGACTTAATCTACTGATACTATATCTAATTGTTCATTTTTACTGTGTGATAAGCTTTTTTTTTTTTTAATTTATGTGTAGGGTGGTTTGATTGGACTGCTGCGTGGCATTGAAAAATTTGATTCTTCAAAGGGATATAAAATTTCAACTTATGTGTACTGGTGGATACTCCAGGTAATTTTCGTCTGAGTTTGTGAAGAAACATTGTGCACATTAAAATAGATCTCATTATGTACAACTGATTAATTTCTGTGTTTATTCTGAATAAAATGAAAATTTCTAAATTTAATTAATCATTCCTGAAAGAGCGAGGGTCCATGAGATTGTCAACCATAATGTGTGGTAGCCTAATCATTCCTCTGCAGAAGCTTTCTCTTATTTGGTCCCTTCAGTTTCTAAAATAAGAAAGCAACAAACCATTTCTCTGTTATTGTTATTCTGCCCAGTCCTTCACTTCTTATCTTCATCTTTCTTGGTGATATGTAAGTCACAAGCTTAAGGAAATAGGTTCCCGCAACAACTTTTGAGGGATTGAAAATGCATAGTTCTTAGCTCTTTCTCTCTGGATTTTATATTCCTCAGAGTAAGGGTAAGACCGCATATATTTGACCCTTTTGAGACCCTTCAATGTGGGAGCCTCAACCACCCAGGATTTATCATGAGATATAAATCTACTGACAAAAGTTCCAAAAGGTTCCAAGACTAATTCTTCCTCTTATAATAGAATTGATTCTCAAGTTTATGTTTTGTTTTGTACTTTATATTGCTTTTAAATTTTTTGTAATCTTTTTACGATTGTACAAAATCTAATCCAGTTCACACCTAATCTCAGGGTGTTTCTAGAGCACTAGTTGAGAACTCAAAAACATTAAGATTGCCGACGCATTTGCATGAAAGATTGGGATTAATCCGAAACGCAAAAAATAGACTGAAAGAGAAAGGCATAACACCAACTATTGATGTAAGTGGCTTCCATTACTGTTATAGACATAATGTAATTTCATTCACATGATTTGAACTGCACAGGATTAAATTTCAATGAATTATGATTAGTCCAACCAATCATTATATTTCAAAATAAATTAGGATGTTTAATTTCTGTGTCTGAGATTTATTCCAATTTTTATTCTCTCAATGAGCCATCATTAATTATTTCATTCTATTATATTTTCAGAGGATTGCCAAGAGTCTGAACATGTCTCAGAAGAAAGTTAGGAATGCTACAGAGGTACTATTTGTTTGAAAGTTGCTTCCTGGCAAACTATTGCAATTATATTTTCCATCCTCACACTACAATTTCATTAAATGCAGGCAGTAAGTAAGGTCTTCTCACTTGACAGGGATGCATTCCCCTCTTTGAATGGTATTCCCGGAGAGACTCATCATAGTGTAAGTTCCCGTTTTATATGAACCAACTCAATAGAATTTTCATTCCCTTTATGCTTCTTTCCTGTTATTTACTATTAACCCACTTTCTTTTTATCTTTTCAGTACGTTGCAGATAACCGTGTAGAAAACATTCCATGGCATGGAGTAGATGAGTGGGCACTCAAGGTAAAATGAATAATTTAGTTCACAGACTGAAGGCTAAAGAAAGCAATATTTTAAAAAATAACGAAATGAGAGGCTCATAATGGTTGCTATTGACACATTAATGTTCGCCAAGGAACAGCCATAGAACTTATTCAATATTTATAGTACTTCTTTTTAAGTCTGCCTAGTCTCCAGATCACTCCTCTTTCTGGTTCTTTTAGGCTCAACCACCAGAGTTTTTGACTCAGTTTTCTCATACTGTAGACCTTATCTTACACAAAATGTTACTTGAGATCTTCCTCTTAATAAATGAGTGTCAAGTCAGACTGAAGAGACAAGTTCTGGTTGGAAAGGGAATGAGTGGGTTAATAGCAAAAGCAGCTTGGATTTGGATAGACTAAAACAAGAAAAAACTATATTTGATCTGAATGGTCATATGTAGTTGGTTTTCTAGAAACAAAACTTTTTTGTTGGAATAAATAGGGATATTGGAGATCAATTTTATGAAATAATAAAATGTAAAATCTGCTACTGCCAGCATATTTTAACTGTCTTTTGGTTGTGCATGTGGATTTTGATTTGTTTTTGTGTTCTATGTAAAGAAAACGTAATCCTTATGGATGTTATATTTACAGGATGAAGTGAACAAACTCATCACTACAACGCTTGGAGAACGAGAAAGGGAGATTATACGCCTTTATTATGGTCTAGATAAGGAAAGTCTTACATGGGAGGACATCAGTAAATGGTGAGTATATATAATTGTCTTATGTATTATAGACAGATGGTAATAGTTAAAAGATTATGTATGATCATATTGAATACAAACTTTTGGTTGTTTCGCTATTCTGATCACCTGGATGTCTCTGTCATTAACAAAGCAAATATCATAGATATTTATTACTTAAGTCACAGGGATGGAAGTTGAAAATAACAATGTAAAGAAATATGGGAAAATGAAAAGAAGGAAAAAGAAAGCAACAGAAGAAAAAGGACATCTTTGTTCATATCTACAGATTTTTTAATCCATGCATGTTATTTGTTAAATTTGTTACCATTCAACAGTCTCTTTCTGGTGATAGTTTTCTTTGGTTTCATTTCTCACGCAAATTTCATATCGTTTTCAAGTTGGTTTGACTTTTTCTTTTGTGAATTCTCCAGCATAGGTTTGTCCAGAGAGAGGGTTAGGCAAGTTGGACTTGTGGCGTTAGAGAAACTAAAACATGCGGCGAGGAAGAATGAAATGGAGGCTTTGCTACTGAAACATTGATTTTGTATGCTTCAACATTCACATGGTAAAATCACTGTAATATATACAGAAAAGAAAAATTATATCTTCAAATTATTTTTCCCATCAAGATCAAGAATAACAATAGAAGGTCAGGATAAGGGCCTCATGACCCTAAACTTCCTTTAACAAGAGTTCGACGAACTGATTAAGAGCCTGTAAGTTGGAGTGAAAAAATTCTTTTGTGTTATATTTATGGAGGCAAAATAACTGGTTGTGCATCACATTTTTTCTGTGGTTATGATAAACAAGTAGTTTCAATGCAGATGTTGAACTTAAATTAATATTTATAGTATTTTTTATGTTGGAATTGTCGAGCTTACAGTTTATGTTTTGATTGAAGCCATATGCTCTATGTTACCTGTATACAATGGGTAAAAGGTGAGATGCTTGAATTTGCTCTGGTCCAGAGAGAACAAGAACGTAGGCATGAGTCGGACTTAATAAGAATATGCTCATTCTTGACATGAACATTCATGTCAGCCACTCAGCCGCATTAACAAACAAAAAGAAATATATAGAAATTTTGATTATCAAACTTGATAGTAATTGATAATTCTATAATTCACTGTTTGCTTCTTGGCGGTTGAATCAAATCCAAACCCCAATAATTAAAAAAATAAGTAATTAAATATATGGATTCCAAGCCTTCTAGACAGTTTCTCTCTTAATCTCTGCATGTAAAAAAAAAAAAAAAAAAATCAATAACTCTAATCATCAAGCAATTTATTTTCTAGCGTCAACCGAGTGTAAGGAGGAAAAGAGAAAGATGGTGATTACTACTACTCCATCATGTGCAGAAGGTTGTGGTTTCTATGGTTGGGTGGAGACCAAGAACTTCAAGTGTTACAAATTATAGCAGTTAAAACAAGAGCTTTCCAGCTCAACCAAGACAAAAGATCCTAGTTCAGCTGCGCCATACCATTCTGTTTCTGTTGATTCTACATCAGTTTCTAGTCCATCGAAACTCAAGAAAAAATGTTAAAAGCTGCAACAAGAAGCTTGGTTTGATGGGTTCTGCATGTCGCTGTGGCAAATTTTTGTCAGGTTCACCAGTACCTGGAACATTCATTCAACTATGATTTTAAGGAGGCTGATCGCCAAGTTTTAGCCAACGAAAACCCAGTTATTAAGGGTGACAAACTGAAATCAAGGATGTAGCCTTTTTTCCCTCTTACACTAGTCTATATATAAACTATTCAATAGAGGGAAAATTGTTGCCTTGAAACTGTCATCAAATTTAGATGGCACGTCTAATTTGTAGTAGAAATAAAAGGGTTTTAACATGATGGGACTACTTCTAAAGAGGAAAGGACAAAGAATTTCCATCTTATAGGCACATGAAATCAACAGTTTCTAACTTTCTATAGCTGAAGAGCTAAAAAGGGGGAAAAAGTAAGCTCTATGTATTCTATTTTATTTATTTAAAGAACAAACTGGGTAGACACTAGTCACTGCACGTCTAACTCCTTCCCTTTGGGTTTACACTTGTCACTAGGCGCTAGTCCGGTTGGAAGGATTGGAGTTGGAAACTGGTAAAGAGAGTTGAAAAACAGGATAAAAGCGTAGTGCTATGAAGTGAGAGAACTTTTGTACACTTGAAAACAAATCAACTTCAATTTTGCAGCTACCGAGTAGCTTCATTATATTAGATATAGGGATAAGATTAAGGGAACTCCACCAAGGTACATTTACCTACAAATCTAGATGAGCCAGATCGCGGATGAATCCTTCCAAAAAAAAAAAAAAAAAACATAGGGAAGACTTGCATTTGAAGAAAGAAACATAGCCTCCTGCTCCAGTTGAATACTCAGTGTCTTTATTGCTAGTGGTCAAAGACTGGTTCCTTCTCCAGAAAGAGAGCAGACTCATGATAAATGTTAATCAGAACCATCCAACCTAGGCAGCTAAGTGGCCTTGAGATCAGGCATTGCTTCTTCCATAACCACACATACAAGGTAACCAGTGACATGTTTACAAGATCAAAAGACACTCACCTAGTTGTCGCTTTAAATTAACCACTGTCAAAGCCTATAACCAAAAAAACCAAGGAGGAAAACCTCGTGTTCTCAAAACTTTCATGCATAATGCATTTGACCTCCATAACAAGAAAAACCAACAGCCTCCTTTCAAAAGGACAGTTTAAATCTCTAAACACTTTCCACCACAGCATCTCTCCTAATAACTACATAAAATTCATCGTCTCCTCATGAGAGAATTATAGTGCATTTTCAACAAATCATCAAGTGAGACAAGGGACCACCCATCCTCCTTTTGGGCATAAACCTTCTGGTTAAGTGAATCAACTATTACACTTATGTTACCGAAGCCATATATCTGTTGACCATTATGCATCCTGCCAGGCTTGGGTTTGAACAGTAACTCATGTTGCAGTGCATAGGCCTCAACTACTTCCTTCAAACTCATCTCGGGAACACCATCCATCGGGGCTGTAGTACCCAGGCCAGCTGCAGCTGGCTGTTGCGCATGTGCAGCAGCTCTCTGCTGAGCCTCAAACTGCCTCTGCTCACGCACCTTGAGATATGTAACATTCTCTCTCAAACCAGGCTGCACTACCGGTATGTGGTCAGCAGCCTGAACCATCATCTCAAGACCACAATTAAGTTGATTACGGATACTTTCATTTGCCAAAAGCTCCTGTGGCAGAAGTCCCTTCCAACCCATGTACCAATTTTTTATCTCCTCAAAGTCGGGTTTTGAACACAACCAATGATACAAAACCTGCAGCCACTTTACAAAGAAAAATTTCTCCATCAAATCCACCATGAGATGAATAGGAATTGCAGAGGCCCAAGACATAACCCAATAAAACTGATCAAGCTTCTGATCCGCAGGGTTTATTTGGAACTCCTGCAGAGCAATCTGCAACTTTGGAACTATATATTGACGCATAAGTTGTTCCCAACTCACTGAATCAAACACAGTCTTCCAAGGTGATAGTATAGCATAAGCAGATGGATCACTTGGGTGCCAAGCATCAAGAACATTACTCAACTTCATACGTATGGTTTGATACAAACCCTCCAGCTTCTGTCCCAACATCGGCAGCCATGGATGCACCCAAACATGGATTGGAACAGTTTCCTTACGTGGGTTCCATGAGTCAACTGCTCTTGACAATTTTGGCATTACTACAGTATCCAATATGGTGTGAAGAATAGAAGATGGCAGCAACTTTTCCCATGATTCCAAAAATCCAAGCATTGGTTCAGGGTTCCTAGGCTCCCATGTGTTAATGCCAGATATTCTCATAGCTGGCAAAACAACTTCTGAAATTAACTGAGAATACGGTGTTGTTACATCCTCCCAAATGTCGTAACTATCCTCTCCTTGCAATACGTCCTTCCATGCTGATATCACCTCCATCCCATACGATGGATTTTCAAGAGGATCCCAACCCTGAAACATTCTTATAAACAGAGGCAAAGCAAACGAACATGCAATACAGGATAAGTTACACAGTTTGTAATCTTCAGCATAATTCCTCTGCAAATCCCTAAAACTCTTTGCAAGAGACTCCAAGGTCAATTTGCCAGACGAATTCTCTTCCTCAATCTCGCCCAGCACACTAACAATTTGCTCCATATTAGCCAACTGTTGCTTCTGACGTGAAGCCTCAATCTCCAACTTTTCCTTCTCTTTTTGCAAGCTCAATGCCGTTTCTTTTTCGTTCCTTAAATCCCTATCAATCTTCTGAATATCAAGCTCTGCCAAGTCAACAATTAACTTCAAGTTATGCTGCAACTCAGGCATCGGAACATCATTCTCTCTTGCCTTCTCTTCTGCATCCAGATTCTCCAAGTTTGTCAAAATTCTAACCTGTGGCCCCCTCATATCAATCACCTTCTGAACAGCTTCAACACCCTCTTCTTGCTTCTTCGCTAACAATTCTTCCACTGTAATGTAATCCTCCTTCTTCCTCCCCCTTGCATTCTTCGACCAATGCCTCTCCTTCACTCTCCCAATGGGCTGCTGATTCACACTCTTCTTCTCTTCCAACTGCTGCAACCCTGGCAACTTAGCCTCTTTAAAATCATTGAACCCCATTCCCATATTCTTCGGCCTCATCTTTGCCTCAATAGGAGCAACAATCCCTTGTTCATTTTTTCCAAGACCACCTCCTCTATACCCCATTTTCTCAAGCAACTTCATCCCAATACCCTTTGTATGCTTCTCAAACGCTCCAACATCCTTATTCCCATCTCCAACCTCCCTTCTCCCTCCCAAACTTTTCTTCTCCATTCTCAACCTCTCCCTCTCTTTCACTCTCCTTTGTGCCCCTTCCTTTATCTTCCTCCCAAAGGCAGTAGGCAAAAAACTATTATCATCATCCTCATCACTACCAACATTACCATCACTTTTTTGCAAACTATCAACTCCACCAAATCCTAAACCTACGCCAGACCCCAATCCAGGCCTGCTATCATTCTCATTATCATCAAAAACATTATTGTCATTCTCGACCTTAGAATTCTTATCAATTTCTTGGTTAGGCATTACATTACCTGTAGAAACAAAGTTGACAGGCTTCGTCAAGTCAGGTTTTTTCCCGAATTCCTTCCTTCTCTTCCTTGAAGAAGAACCTTCGTCTTCGGAGTCAGAATCAGATGCAAAAACACCGTAAAGAACATCATCTTTTGTCTGAGTCCGCTTTTCTTTGCGTTTTTTGTAGTAGAATTCGCCGTTTATCCATTGCCCATCTTCAAAGTCGTTCTCCATCCCAAACCTTTCCATCTCTTGATATTCATCCATTTTTTATTAAAACCCAAATTTTCTTTTCTTCGCTTTATCAAAATCTGAAGAAAAAAAAAACCCAGAATTTATAAAGGAAAAAAATGGGGACGCAAAATGGAAATTGTTAAAAATAGGATGTAAAAAGGCGAAATTTAAAGTACGATATAAAGTAAAACAAACAAGAGATTGTTAGTACCTGGAAATCTCAGCCAGAGAAGAGCTTGGAATGAGGTGGAAATTCGAGGTGGGATTTTGATTTCTAGGAACTTGGGAAAGTAGGGGGAATTACAAATTAGAGGAAACTGGAAAGAACCGACTTGATTGGGGTCTTGCTTGGCCAGTCGGGTAAGGTTTCTCCTTTCCGGGCTCCAGATGAACGACCCGGAATAATTGAATTAGGAGTTCTAATCAATTAATTTGCGTTTGTTTTTATTTTTTAAATTTTTTAAAATTAAAAATTAAAACACATATAGTTAAATATAAAATAAATTAATTTTTATTTAAAAAAGAAATTCAAATTAAATTTTCGAATTGGAAGATACATACATTTATAATTTAATAAAATATTTCGATACATCAATGAATTACTTTTAAATTAATATTTATAACCATTTATTTATGTGCAAAGTACAAAATTTAAAATAAAATATAAATAATTACTCGTAAATTTTGCATAAAAATTATTTTTAAATAATACATTTATTTATTCCGTTTTGGCTTCTTCAAGCCCATTCTTTCTGGCCCAACAAAGGAAAACCCACCACATTTTTGTCGGGTAAAAAAATAAAGATTATTATATTAATTGTTAAATGAAATTGTCGCTGTCATCCAGCAAAAGCTGCTCCTGCTTTGTTAGTGTAAAACCCTAAACTTATGTTCAGAAAATTTGGGATCACATTTTCTCTGCTTTCCCTCATTTTCTAGTTTTGTTGAATTAAATAAATTTTGTTTTTCGTTTCTCAGATGATAAGACAATAGCAAAAGATGTCAACGAAATCACAAGCATCATCATGGTCTAGGCTTCTCAGCCAAACCCTTCAAAACCCACCCAAAACCCTGGCTTCATTTTCCCGGAAAATCTCAACTTTCCCCCGCGTTCTCGCCAGCCAAACACCCGGTTTGCACATTTCGCCCAGTTCCCATTTCTCGGATATTTCTTCCCTCCCCAATGGTACCCCTAAAATCGCCACAAAACCCCATTTCTCATTTTCCCGGAAAATCTCAACTTTTTCTCATTTTCCCACCAACCAAGCACCAAAATCATCACTTTCTTCAAAAAAATGTCATTTCTCCACAGCCATCTCATCCAGAGTAGTTGAGGATCTTCTTGCTGAACTGGAGCGGGAGAAGCAGAGAGAAAGGGATGATCGGAAGAGAAGAGGTTTGGATACAAAGGATATTGATGAAGCGGATCAAGAAGATTACATGGGTGTAATGCCATTGATAGAGAAGCTTGAGAAGGAGAAATTGAAGGATACTCCGGATTTAGACCTTTATGAGGAGCCCACGGATTCAGATAGCGATGAAGATGATGAGACTGTTGAAGCAGGGGAGAAGAGGCTAGAGGATTTTCAGAAGAAGTATAAGAGGCATGAGGAGTTGCTAAAGCACTTCGCCAACGCTGGTAAATGAATAAATCTTCTTTTTATTGTTGCTTTGCGTAAGTATAAGTACTAATAATATACATTAGAATGTAACATGTATATGTGTGCATATAACATAGAATGCATGCAACAAACACACACACACACACGCACACACACGCATACGCACTAAGAAATGTTAATCTTATGGGTTTAGGCTTGTATAGTTGAGTGTTAGAGTTAGGACTGTTATTAGGTTGCTTAGACAAAGAATTTGAACTTTATTTTTCCTTGGGAAGAAACGTGGTTTGACTATGTTCAAAACCAATCCTTTTTCTTCTTTGTCAAATATGTTAAATAATAAGACAAATTGATCGTTATGATTGATTTAATGATTCTTTGAAAACTTTCAAACGAACCCTGTCAGTGTTTGTAACTTTCATAAATTACATAAATTGAGTGGATCTAATAAATTCTGAAATCAGGATACTTATATTTACTTAGTGATAATGAATATAATAACAATATAATACATTCAAAAGATTGTTTTAAGTATTTTGTAACATCTTTATATTTGATATTTATGAAATTACATTAATTGGTCTATTGATAACAAGTTACTGTTTCACACATGACAGAGACACGCGATGATGCTTTTAAATGGATGAATAAAATTGACAAGTTTGAGGAAAAGCATTTTAAACTTCGCCCTGAATATAGGGTCATTGGTGACTTGATGAACACACTTAAGGTTGCAGAAGGCAAGGAGAAATTTATTCTTCAGCAAAAATTGAATAGGGCAATGAGGCTGGTTGAGTGGAAGGAAGCCTATGACCCCAATAATCCTGCCAATTATGGAGTTATTCAGCATGAGCAAGTCGATTCTTCTACTGATCTTGTGGAACATGCTGGATTTGAGAAGGAGAAGCAAATGATACATGGAGATGGTGATGATGATGATGAGGAATTTGATGATATGAAAGAGCAGGATGATATACTATCGGAGAAGCTCAATGATATTGACAAGAAACTTGAAGAGAAGCTGGCAGAGTTGGATCATACGTTTGGGAAGAAGGGAAAGCTTCTGGAGGAGGAGATCAGAGATCTTGCAGAGGAAAGAAATGCTTTGACTGAGAAGAAAAGAAGACCTCTTTACAGAAAGGTAAGTGCATACAAGATCCTCCTTCATTTATATTGCTTCAAAACAGTTTAGTTATTCTTGAAATAGTAATCTGTCACTTGAGGAAAAGAAGCTAAGCTAATGTTATTCTTCATTTTATTAAATATATTCTATTTCTATACGTGCCTTTAGTGGGCATGCTCTGCTGGCTGTAGTTCTTCTGCTCTTTTGCTCCCTTTGTCCATTTCCTTGCTGGAATGACTTGGTGTAGCATTGAAAGAATTCTAACAAACTTCCTTAGCTGAAGTTTTTTCTTCTTCATTTTCTATGGTTTATATGAGTGCACATATTCATTGTTTATTCAGGAGTTGAGTAGAACAAACGTTATTACATCATTTGAGAAACATGAGATGTCTGTATAAAGGACTTTGTAATGTGCTATATAGGTGCCAGCATATTTGTTCAGTATTCCCCGATGACTATGTGGTGAAGTTATCTATTCCTATGAAGTGTGAATTTTGAAGTTCACAATGTGTTTGTTTGTATTTGAGCTTGATTTTAAGCTGCCTTGTCAATAGCAAGTATTTTGTTTTTTCAAACAGTTTCGTGGTATAGGTAATTAACTCCAGCTTTTATTGAATAATGGCAGGGTTTTGATGTGAAGTTAATAGATGTAAATCGAACTTGTAAAGTAACAAAGGTAATCTCATGTCATCTAAGTTTGGTTTGTTATTGGAGTGTTTTCTATATAATTCTTTTGAATTTAATATTTTCCAGGGAGGGCAAGTTGTCAAGTACACTGCTCTGTTAGCTTGTGGAAACTATCATGGTGTTGTTGGCTATGCAAAGGCCAAAGCCCCAGCAGTCCCTATTGCACTTCAGAAGGTAACTTATTGTTACTTTTATTTATATATTGTTGATTAATTTTGCACTAGATCCTTGGTAGGTGAATCAGTTATTTAAATTTTATTAGGTGCCTGGTAAATCAAGTGTATTCAGGCAGACCTGTTTTATGTTCTTAACCTTATGCCATAAAGTTCTTTTTTATTATTGTAAATAATGGTGTAGTATCCAGTTTTACTTTTGAAACTTCTGGACGTAGTATTTAACATGCCATGAGCTTTAGGATACTACCTTCTTTTATGATTCAGGGATATGAATGGAAATAAAGTAAAATACCCCCTCCCACACACACACACCAACATAAAGAAAATAATTATAAAAAAAGACCCATTAGATTTTTGACTTTAGCTTATTTGTATATGTCTTGTATCATGTCCATGTTCTAGATTTAATATACAACAAACTTGTACAGTTCTACATGATAAGTAGATTTTCTGCCTCTGGAACTTGTATAATGTAAAATTTTGGTTTCGGCTGGGTTTGAAATGCTGCACATTTTTGTTTGACTTATGGCTAAATTTTAAATAAACCATGTTCTGATTCACTTGCTCGTCTAATCCCTTCTTTTAGGGGCTAGTGTTGCTTATGTTGAGGTTCTTCGGCTTTTCTTATGCTTGTTTTTTATATGGCCACTTTCTTAGCGTAATTCTATGATGTCCTGGCTGGAGTAATGAAATCAATTCAATTTGAAAGGTGTATAATATCATCAATATTGTCCCTCATGAGCACGTTATTGCATATCATAAATCATTTTTTACATCACAAGCTTGATGAATTTATGTGACATTTACTGACCTGTTTAACCTACCAACAGGCATATGAGAAATGCTTTCAGAATCTCCACTATATCGAACGACATGAGGAGCATACAATTGCCCATGCAATTCAAACATCATATAAGAAGACTAAGGTGCATAACTATCTTTTGTCATTGCCTTCTGTCTCAGTCTCGGTTCTTCCCCTTGAGTTTATTCTTCACTTTAGTTGCTGCTCAAGTTTCTCTGCATTGCACCCGCTTTGAACTTATATGCTTTGGTAGGTGTATCTCTGGCCTGCACCAACTACAACAGGTATGACAGCTGGAAGAACTGTCCAAACCATTTTGAGTCTTGCTGGCTTCAAGAATATCAAATCGAAGGTAACAAAGTGCTATCTGAATAGGGTTCCCTACAATGGTTTTTAGAATTCGGCTTTTTGTTGTTAAAATCAGCTCTCTTCTCAGGTTGTTGGCTCAAGGAATCCTCACAACACTGTCAAGGCTCTTTTTAAAGCCCTCAATGCAGTAAGTAACCTAAATCACCAATGTAATTGGAATTTTTTTTTTGGCACTCCGAAATATCTCAATAACTGCTGTCATTTTTTCATATTTTCAGATTGAAACTCCAAAAGACATTCAGGAGAAGTTTGGCAGGACAGTTGTGGAGAAATACTTGCTGCAGTAAGCATGACAGCCAAAGCAGCATACCTTGTGTTTTCTCAATTTGGATTTTTGAACAGTTTGAATTATAAATTAGATGAGAAAAAAAAAATTTTGAATCATAAATTAGATGAGAAAAAAAATTGAAAATTTTGTCATTGTATGTTGCTTTCCTATGTATTTGGTAGATATATTTTGCTACATTTTCTCCTTGGTCCACCATTGAGATCAGATAAAGGGAATCAAGTCTATTTTGTTTTATTAAAAATGAGGTCAAATCTGATTCTAGCTTTCAATAATCTGAAAGCACCCAAGCATGTCATTGCCGGTGAGTTAGTAGACTGAAGTTATGTTGTTGGTTTCAGCAGTGTTACCAATTCTTTTATCACATAAATAGTTTTTATTTATTTATTTATTTCACAACAAATTGAATGCCTGATTGACATGAACTTTACAGTTCTCATTCATGGTAAACTTTTATACTTTTATTATGATAAAAATGTAATTGTTTAAGCAAAATATTCGCTACTTGGATTCATGATTTTTAATGAAATGTTCATTTATAATATATATATATATATATATATATATTATTTATATTAAAAGCAGTCGTAAAACTGTTTTGTTTTTCAATTTACTACGTCATTAATGTCTTAAAAAAAACCTGAGGGGTAAAATTGAGCACATGAAAGATTGAAGTCTCTCCATTTTTATTTTTGCAGACAGACATAAGAAAAAAAGGAAAACAAAGAGAAAGGGGAAGGGAACAATAAAAAGGAAAGGGAATGATTGAGGGGGAAAAGGAAGAAAGGCTGTCGATGTATCAACCCTTTCACCAGTACCGTCTCTAGGCCTTTCTAAAGTCTCAATCTCCTTCTCCTCCTCCTTCTTTGCTTTTTTTTTTTTTTGGTTTTTTTATTTTCTTATTTTGACAATTTATTTGTTTTTCGATTTTACCTTCAATTTTTTAATTTTTAAGGTCTTTTTACTGGTTCTTTGATTTGCTAGAAGATTTTTTTTTTTTTGTTTTTGGTTATTCTTCCAACGCTAGAGTGTTCGTTGTTGAGCAGTTCAATTTTCAATCGAAATTGCGCTTATTTTTTTCCATTAAAAAATTAGGGTTTTTTTTTTTTTCGCGGTGAATGGATATCGATGGCAAAGAGATAAGCTGATATCGATGGCAAACAGAGAAGCCGATATCGTTGGCAAAGAGTGGTTCACTCCGTATGTAGCCGATATCGATGGCAAGCCCAACCGAAGCGTATTGGATTTTGTTTTTCGAGTATTGTTGATTTATTTATTTTTTTGAAAATTGTTGACAGTTTTTTGGCAGAAGGTGGTTTTTATGAGAGAAAAGAGGAAGCTGCAAAGAGAGAAGTTGTTTGTCATATTCAAGAGGTAATTGCATGTTTTTTTTGGTGAAAAATTCATATTTCTATGAAAATTTCAAACTTGTAGCAATGTCCAAAAAATTAATTTAAGGGGTATTTTTGACATAAAAAAAAAAGATGAGTTCAAGAAAGAGATGAAGAGGAAGGGATTTTGTTTCTTAAATTCTCCTCAGGTAAAAATTAGATTTTTGTTTTTGAATTTCTTTTGGGTTTTCATTCTATGTGCAATCTATTCTTAGGAGATAATCATGTTTGAATAACCATATACTTGATTATAAAGAATTAGCTCCATTGGACGTTCATTGGTATTCATTACAAAAGACGAACCTTCATTGATGGAGATTTTTTCTTTATGTGCAGCATTACGTAGGGCTGCAACCTTAAAAGCAAGAGAGTTAAACGAAGTTAGGAACACTGCAGCAGTCCTTCCAGCAGAGAAATGAATAAATGTTGGATCCTATGCTAAAGGCAATAATAGGCATTCAAACCGCAACTATAGCGGAGAACTTGCCCCTGGAGAGGATTTCCTTACTGCCTGTAGTCAAAAGCTCTTTGTCAAGGTAAGTGAACTTCTCAAAAGAACCCGGAAAGGTAGTAATTCTGTTCATTGTTGCAAAATTAATCATTTTATGATTTCTAATCATATAGTTTATATTTTATCTGTGTGCAGGTGACCTTCATTGGAAAGTTTTCTCTGTTTATATGAATAATACAGGCCAGGTAGCGATTGTTTTCGTCAGACACATCAGGAATGTTAACTTTTTATATATAAGTGAATTTTTTCTCACACAATTACGCAAATATCCATTTTTTTTTTTTACTTTTGAAGGTGATTTTGAAGATGAAGAGCAAGCATGTTATTGGGTGGGACATTCACCAAAAAGAAAAAGAGTAAGTTATATTAATTGTACCAAGGCAATGTTGTCAATGTCAAATTGCGGATTGCCTTTGAAAAATTCTTCTTTTTGGGGCTCCAGATGTGGTTTGGAGGTATGGAAGGACATGGCAGCCATCTATGCCGTGATCATTTATCATAAATAATTAAACTAGAAAGATAATTGTTCATCCACCAAAAAGAAGAGATACAAAAGAAATTGGTACCTTGATTATTGTTTAATGGAGTTCATTTTTGGTGCAGAAGTCAAAAGTGACATGCTCCAAAAGCAAGAAAACAAAAAGTATAAGGATTACTTTGAATTTAACCTTATCTTCTCTCCACTTCCCATGTTTACCTGGGCTTAAACTTATTTCATCACCATACATAAATCTGGCCTTATTCTAGATTTAAGCCTTTCACATTAATTAATGCTGCTTTATCTAGACAAGATTGGTAACTTGGTAAGCAATAAGAATAGGTTTAACTTTTTCAATAATAATAATAATAATAATAATTCTTTATGTTAGAGGCATATATGTTGCCTTTAAATTCTCTTTCTAATCTTATTTATGGTCTATAATTTTTTGGTTATTTATGTTAGAAGCATGTATGGATAACTTGTTATGAATGATGAGAAACCAAGGAAATGAGGCAATGCTTTTTGATATGGCACGAGGTACTTGAAACTATGATTGAATATTTAATTTGTTGTGTGTTTTTCTTCTGCCACATTTTTACTAACCAATAGTTTTGATGTTTGTTTTCTAAATTTGCAAATTTCAAGTTTCAGTTCTTAGTGAATTTTTAGTGTTTAATAATTGTGCATTTTATTATTTATCAACATTCATTTATTTAATGTGATTGGAAATGGTTGGTCAATACTTTATGAAGCTTAAAAATTATATGTTATTCCACAGAATATTAAGAAGTATTTATTTATTGAAAGAAAGTATGATTACTAAAAAGTCTTTCAACATGTTGAAGTAATTGTATAAGAAATTCACGAAAAAATACCAATTATATTAATAGTCAATCTGTGTTTCTTGGAGTATAATTAAAGGTCTAAAATTTTTCCGAGGAATGATTTGAATATTCATTTTATCGGTTGGGTAGTTTTCAAGTTGGCATAAAACTAAGTCAACTTGGGCAATTGCATGTTGTAATCTTATTAGTTGGATATTCACCTAATTAGCTGGGTAGTTGCATGTTTTAATCCTATAATGCATTTCAATTATGTTCGTGTGTGAGAGAATGAGACATTGCATTGGTATATCAAATTGTATTCGTATAATAATTATGATGTTCATGTGCCTAACTTTTTTTTTTCTTACGACAATTTTCAGGAGGGCAAGTAATATGTATAAAGGGTTGTTGCCTTGCAATATTGCTTAAAGTTGCTTATCATATTATGAGAAGGGAGAAAATGTAACATCTAGAGCTAGAATCTTCGTCTTACAAGAAATACATCTCTAATAGTATCGATTGGCTTTTTGGGGTTATGCTTAAATTACTTTTTATGTTGTTGTACGCATGTATATCTTATAGTAATTTAAACTTTAATTATTAAACATTACTATATTTTGAAAGATTACAGTGATTCTAGCTAGCCTAATCTCTAACTGATCTTTGCTTTTAACTAATATAGTGATTCAAATATCAATCGTGTTTTTAATTTTTTTTTTCTCCTGTAAATAGACATCTATTTAGAGTTTTTAAAAAATATTTTATGTTTTAACATAAGATTTTATTAATTATTGTATTGTTGTGTGAATTGAATTACTCTTATTAATATTAAATATGCATCACATATTTTAAGTATGAAGGTGCTTTTATAAAACTATTTATGACATTTTTGCTATCAATGAAAAGCCTTAAAATTGATAATTAATATTTTGTAAATTTTTAGAGATTTTTTTAGCTTCACTTGTTAGAATATATTTATTTCATAAATGATGTTTTAGATGATAAATTATTTTAATTTTTTTATTTAAATTTGCTGGAAATATAAAATTTTAGATAATTGAAATGTAGAATTGAATTTATGCATTATCACGTGTCAACGAAAAACTTATTTTAATCTAAAAATAAAAAGATAAATATAATATTAAAATTTCGTGGTTTACATAAAAAATAAATTAAAAATATAAAAATTTTATACGCCCGACGAAGGGCAGCCCACTAATATATATAATTTCTTACTTAAAAAAGTGTTCAAATAGGTGTAAAAACTTTTTTTGGGGGATTGAAAATGATTTTTTGTGGTTAATTTAGAAGGTTGATCGTAGATTGAAAAAGTCAATCAGTCCAAACTTCCAATCCAAAGGAAAGGACATTATTTGAGGAGGCCTGTTCTTACCCAAAAAAAAAAAAAGCACAAACCAATGCTCACTACATTCAATCACAAAAACCTCCATGCACATTCAACACGGTACAAAAAAGCAATTTAACCACCGGGACCACCACCGTCTCCGTCTCCTTCTCCGCCGGTGCCGTTTCTGCCTCCTAGCAACCCTTTCAAAAACAAAACCAGAGCTGAAGAAAAAAAAAATCACAAACAAATAAACTCTTTTTGTTATATTATTAATATTATTATTGTTGTTATATTATTATTATTATTAGTATGGTGTCTGCAAAAGATGGTGGAAATGGAAGGCGACCGAAGAAAGGGAAGGCGAACCGGATCCGGAGCATTCTCGGAGTCGGGTATTGGGTCCAAGGATTCAGGTGTTTTCCATGGATGGCTGTTAACTTTTTTCTGAAAGATAGTGTTAAAGTGGATCCTTCAACTCTTCAAATTCTTCAGAATTCTGCTAATCTCCCCATGGTTGGGAAGCCGATCTATGGTATCGTTTCCGATGCCGTCTATATCTCTGGCCAGCACCGTGTTCCTTATATCGCCATCGGTGGTAAAAGTTTTTAACTTTTTTGTTCTTTTTTTTTTTTAATATTAGCAATGAGGAATAGAATAATTTTAAATGAAGCAAACGTTGTGGTCCTGATTTGAAAGTTAAGACTAAATAAATATGTTTGTATGGCGATAATGATCCTCATACATAAAAACGATTGAAAATGGCGAAGGCAAGATGTAATCGCGAATCTCAAATGCAACTGTCCTTGGCCACCGGTTAACCGGGCTGGAATGTCAAGAGAAGGAAAGTGATGAATGTGTACATGCTATATATTGGGTTTCAAAGTTCAAACCAGATAGTCATGGATTTCATTCTGTTCTTTTCTTCTCGCTGTCTCCCTCTCCATTGCTCTTCCTTTTCTCACTTTTCTTTCCCAAGTGAAATAACAGTGAAGCCTTCTGCTTTATCTGGGTCATGAAATGTAAGAAGATCACTGATTTCAGGCTTTGTATTGAAGTACGTTTACCTGGGTGTGGGCAAATCTCTTTACACACTTTCTTTACAGTGAACTGAATATGAATTCTTAGATTTGATTAGCTGGTAGAATTGGAACCCAAAATTAGAGAATGTCAAATTTGTTAATTAACCTTAGTTATGTGGGAATATGTTCTCTTATTTAGACAGAATATGGCTTCCATATTATTCAGTCTGTCATGATTAGATGATATCTATTTGGCCTTTCTTGAAAATAATAAACTTTAATTGAAGGTTGCTGAAAGGAAGCAAAGGTGAGAGTTTCCTCTTTATTCTGTTATGTCATTCTGGCTGCAGCTGTTTTGAGCCACTGTTTTCTTTGTTAAAAACAAGGTTAAAATACCAGTAGAAATGGATTATGAATCAGAGGTCGTGTCCTATTTTGCTTAGCATTGCTGTATTATTTTATTTTATTTCTTCAATTGAATTTCTATTTTCTTCCCATAATAGTTTTCGCTCCTTCATTGTTGCAGCTTTCTTACAAGCAGTTTCGTGGCTAGTAATAACAATATTTTCACAATCAAACATTTCGATCTTCACAATGAGCCTATATCTTCTCCTCAGTAACCTCGGTGCTTCAATAGCAGAGGTTGCTAATGATGCCATTGTTGCTGAAATGGGAAAATCCAAAAAGTCTCAATCAGCTTCCTCAGGTGAGCTCCAGTCATTTGTTTGGATGGTTTCCTCTGTTGGTGGAGTCCTTGGAAACCTGTTAGGTGGCATTGCCATTGACAGATTTTGGCCCCAATCAATGTTCCTTTTTTTTGGACTTCTCCTTGTGCTCCAGTTTCTTATAACTATCTCAGTTCCTGAACGCTCTCTTAACCTTCCAAAAAGTCCATCAAATGTTGGGATTAGGAAACAGCTTTCAGAGCTCTTAGCTGCATTGCGAAAACCTGAAATAGCTTACTCAATAACCTGGTTTGCTACATCATATGCCATAATTCCAGTGCTCACAGGAACAATGTTCTTTTACCAAACACAGTATTTGAAGATTGACGCCTCTGTATTGGGAATTTCTAAGGTGTTTGGGCAGGCAGCAATGTTGTTATGGGGTGTCATCTACAATCGTAGTTTAAAGTCAGTCCAACCAAGGAAACTGATTGCAGCCATTCAGGTAACAATGGCTGTATTCATGATTTCAGATGTATTGTTTGCGAAAGGGATTTATCAACATTTAGGAGTGCCAGACTCTGTCTATGTTGTAGTTTTCTCTGGTGTTTTAGAGGTTCTATTCTTCTTCAAGATTCTGCCATTTAGTATTCTGATGGCTCAACTCTGCCCTCCAGGATGTGAAGGGTCTCTAATGGCATTTGTCATGTCAGCTGTAGCCCTTGCATTCATAGTGAGTGGATACCTTGGTGTTGCGTTGGCATCTTATGTCGGGGTTACAGGAAATGATTTTTCTGGATTTCCTCTCGGCCTTCTAATTCAGGCAGTTTGTACCCTTCTGCCACTATTTTGGTCATCATGGATACCTAATGATGTGAAATCTAAAACCAGGACAGAATAAAAATGTTGGTGCTTGCAAGAATGGCATGAATTGCATAATTGGTAGGAGCAATTTTAGCCTTCTTTCATTTCGAAATATGATTGCTTTGGGAGCAGTTTTAGGAGCTTGCAAGAGGATTGTTTCAACTTTTCCTTTTCTTCTTTTGCAATGCATGCAAGCAGCGAGGTGTTGTTTTGGGCTTGCAGGTTTTGGATCAATGAGTTTTGAGGGTATTAGAGCTTTTAACACTTATACATTTTATATTGCAAGTTATGTATGCGAGATCATGGTTTCCTTTTTCCTGTATCACATGGAATGTAGCTGAAATTCTTGTGTTTGTTGCAAATTAAATGCATCAGTAATAAAACTGGCCATTTTCCGGTCTCAATTCTTTGTGCAGAATCCTGTCATAACTTGTTTGATGTCCTTATGAATTGGTCAAGTATTAATTAACCTTTCACTAACTCAAAGAATTCAAACATCTGTCTTTCGCTTTTTGGCCTAGTGGCAAAGAAGCCTTAAGAAACACATTAGAGTTTGGATTTAAACCAAGCCTTCCCCTCCCCCCCTTTCCATCTAACAGGGCATTGCCCTCCTTTGAAACCAAAATAAAAAAAAAAGAATTCAAACATCTCGCATACGTGTTCTAGAATTTCCCTCATAGTAAAAAGGTTAATAATTTCCTTTAGTGCATAAACAAGAAATGAAAGCCGATCATTTTGCCAACCCAAGTTGCCTTGGCAAGCAAAAGTTTTCATTTCCAAACTAAATGGTAGCTGTTGTCTTAACGTGCTGCATCTTCTCTTCAACCTTTTGTTGTATCATTTAATTAGGATTTGAGTTGGGATTTCAATCACATATATGCAAGAAATTAGATGCTAGAGTTTAGTTTTCCCCCAAAGAAGCTCATGCATGCAGTAGTTTCAAATTCCAATTTCGAAATTGAATAGGCTTTTACTCTTCTCTTTTTACACTAGAGACTACCTCAATTTTCACAAGCTGTACTGGAAACCACAAATATTTCTATATTTGATACTGCTAAATCCAATAAAATACCAGCCACATTACCTAGAAAATCCCCAAGTAATTATCCAAGATCGAATTCATTACACCAAGGAAACTTACCATCACAGCTTAGAATGTTAACAGCCAAATAACTCCCACCACAAGAGGTAACTTGGCAGAGCAAATTTAATAAAATTCCGACACAATCAGAAACATCTGCACTAAAGACCAACAAACTTTCCAGGTCCATGACAACATTCAAAAACACCCAACATTCAACAAGCGCAGCAAGAAGCTGTACATTGATTTGACCTAAACATGGTCTAGCTACTAATGAACTAAACACGACCATCAAATAAACATTCTAGATTCACTTTCCCACCTTTCAAAAGATTTTCAATTTCTTTAGGAGGGCTTAGCCCCAACCTTTGAGCTCTTTCCCAACGAGCCAGCCGCGTTATCCCAAGGCACGGTCCATATGCCATGTTCATATCAAATAGCCTTAAAACTTGCTCTTGCTCATCCAAATCATCTGTTTCAAAGAAAAAAAAAGGAATAATATTCAATTTTCACAAACACCCATTTTGAAAGAAAAAGGGAAGAGAGAGTGACCTTTGAGATCGAGAGAACCGCCATGAGAAATAAGGGCAGGGGATTGGGTAATATCAGAACCGAAAGTAGCGGCGTGTTTGAGAGATGGGTTTTTGGTTGACTTTGAGGATTTTGATTTGGTGATGCCTCCCGCAGCTTTGTTCTTCTTCTGCCTGTAGAAACCCTTCATGTTCTTCGATGTTGTTGCCATTCTTGATTCCTCTTGTCTCCAAAGCTTCTGTCTAAATTCAAATTTCGAATTTTGTTTTCCTGACTGCTTCTTGCCTCTTGCGTTTTAGTATTTATACATGGGTAACAGTATCATTTTCTGTATCCCAATAATGATTTTGCACGCAGGGCTGGGCCTTCCATTTGTTTTACATAGGCCTAAGTCGCCTGTTTATATCTCAAACCCGATTCATTTAAAATGTTTATAATTAATTATTTATTTAAGATAAATCTCACCTAAATTTTTAAATTTCACGAGTTAGGTTAATAAGTGTTCACATTTTTTTAGAGTATATTTAAAAAATAAAACACATGTTAATATGTTAATTTTATTTATGAAATTAAAAAAATACACTAATCATGTATGAAATATTAACTTTTTATTTGGATAGGTAATTTTTTTGAAAGATATTTAGAATATTATTATTTATTTTTAAAAATAAATATATAATAGATTGCAAAATGAATTCATTGAAAGAATTTAAAATAAATTTATCTTTGATGTATTATATAATATATTGTCAACAAATTATGTAATAATATCTTATAAAAATTAATTTTAAAGTTTTAAAAAATAAATACATTTAATTTTAAAAATAAGTTGAAAACTAATTTTTTATAAAATATATTTACTGATAATTTATAATATTTATATACAAATAATGTATGAAATATAAAATTTTTAAAATAATATCGAAGGCGAATTATTTTGAGAAACAATTAGTAACACAAAATGAAAGAGCATTGAATGCTAACTCTATTTCTATTTTTGTTAAAGCTGACAAAATATCTAGAGAATCTATGAAGAAACTCCTCTACCACAAAAATGTTATCTAATGCATTAATCATCGTCATCAAATTAAAAGCAGAGGATTATAGATTTCGTATCTCAATTGTCCTCTTTATATAAATTCAAGCTTTTACTATCAAAATTCAATGCCTCCTGCCCCTTTTTATCAACCACACAACTCTTCTCACTCTCCCCTCTCGACCCAAAGGCGAAGGCAAACATGGAAGCCTGGTTCATCATCCTCATCACCGTCGCCATTTCTCTTCTCCTTAGAGCTCTCTTCGACTTTTTCTCATTCCCTTCCAAGAAACCTTCCCATACTCTCCCTCCAGGCCCTGCTAAAATTCCCGTTATCAGCAGCATCATATGGCTCAGGAGAACCTTTGCCGAGCGGGAACCAATCATCAGGAACCTCCACAAAAAGCTTGGTCCAATGGTCACTCTCAACATTCTTTCTCGCCCTGCCATTTTCATCTCCGATCGTTCCCTCACCCACGAGGCATTAATTGAAAACGGTGCTTTATTTGCTGACCGCCCTGAAGCCCCAGTCATAGGCAAGATTGTAAGCTGCAACCAACATGATATCAACTCTGCTTCCTATGGTCCTACTTGGAGACTTTTGAGGCGTAACCTCACAGCTGAAATCCTCCATCCTACGCGTTTAAAATCCTACTCTCATGCACGCAAATGGGTTCATCAAATTCTGTTAGAGTCGTTAATGTCAAACTCAAACACAGGTGAGCCGGTTCGTGTCGTGGATCATTTTCGATATGCTATGTTCTGTTTATTAGTGCTGATGTGTTTTGGTGACAAGCTTAGTCAAGAACAAATTAAAGAGATTGAGAATGTTCAGCGCCGTTTGTTGTTGGGCATTGCTGGGAAATTCAATATGCTCAATTTCTGGCCTAACTTGACAAGGGTTTTACTTCACAAACGTTGGAAGGAGTTCTTCCAGGTCATTGAGGACCAAGAGAACGTGTTGGTTCGTTTGATAAGAGCACGGAAGAAAGTGAAAGAGGAGAGGTTGAGCAAGAGTAACGAGGAAGCTGATGTCGAGTATGTTTTGGCGTATGTTGATACCTTGCTTGATCTTCAACTCCCAGAGGAAAAGAGGAAACTTACAGAGAAGGAAATTGTTAGCTTGAGCTCTGAGTTTCTCAATGCTGGAACAGATACTACCTCCACTGCTTTGCAGTGGATTATGGCAAATATGGTGAAATATCCACATGTTCAAGAGAAGCTGTTCATGGAGATTAAAGGGGTTATGGGAGATGGAGAGGAAGAGGTCAAGGAAGATGATTTGCAGAAGATACCTTATTTGAAGGCAGTGATCTTGGAAGGGCTAAGAAGACATCCACCAGGCCACTTTGTTCTGCCTCATACTGTGAGAGAAGATACAGTCCTGGGAGGATTTTTGGTCCCCAAGAACGCTATCATTAATTTCCTGGTAGCAGATATGGGGTGGGATCCAGAAGTATGGGAGGATCCAATGGCATTTAAGCCTGAGAGATTCCTTAGCAATGACAATAAGAGTGGGGAAGTGTTTGATATAACAGGAAGTAGGGAAATCAAGATGATGCCATTTGGGGTAGGAAGGAGGATTTGTCCTGGACTCGGCTTGGCCATGCTTCATCTAGAGTATTTTGTGGCAAATCTGGTTTGGAACTTTGAATGGAAGGCTATGGATGGAGATGAGGTGAGCTTGGAGGAGAAGCAGGAGTTCACAGTGGCGATGAAAACTCCATTGCAGGCACACATTTATCCTAGGAAAAGATAAGATACTGATATTTTACTAGGATATTAAAGAACATGTAAGGTCAATTATAAAAATACTTGTAATAGAGGCCATTGTAAACCTTAATTAGTTAGATAAGCTTCTATTTAAACCAGAATGATACTACTGTACCTTCTACCAGAATTGTAGCAACAAACTTCATTAATATCACATACCTGAAATGCATGTGTCTGTTCATGGATTCAAGAATGGAAAAGCTGATGTTATGTTTACTTGCCTGGTGGAATTTTTCTTCATTTTTCTTTGGCCGCTAAAATTACTCCAAGTGTATATATCATAAATATGTTCAATTTAATTTTTTCTTCAGGGAAGTTTGCCGTGATTCAACGTTCAAATTTGTATCTCGTTAATTGACCAGCAAAATAAAATTTTGCGTCTGATAAATCCTACTCGCTGAGTGTTTTTTACCTCAGTTGTTCAATGAATTTTTTGTTCAATGACAATGAATGAAACGTAATTTTTTAATTAGAGTCCCACAAATATATATATATATATATATAAATAACAGTTGTAAAATGTATTACTGGTGGGCATATTATTACACAATAAATTCAACTCTTGACAATGTATGGATTTAAGTAATAATTATTTATATTAAATCTTTGAAAACATAGAGATTTTTCAGTTGTTTTGCTTAAAATTCCATCCATATCACACACAATACAGTTTTTTTTTCCCCTTAAAGCTGTTTTCTTTCTTAAAAAAATTATATTCAAATTGAAAGCAAAGTTTTCACCTACAATAATAAAAAAAATTATATTCAACTTTTTTTTTAAGTTTATACCTTACACATTTATAGGATGCTTCATTCATGCATTTAGCATTTAAAATTCATATAATTACTCTTAAAAAATGATATTTAATAAATATAAAATTTGAATAATAATATTTACAATTTTTTCTTTTATCCCAAGCTAAGATTTTTTTTTTTTAATGCTTGTTGTTCTATTTAGTAGTAAAATGTTTATGACCCATATTACATTCACAAATTTGTTAGTTGTTAAGTCATGATGTTATCTCGCATAAGTTAAAGTTTTGAAATTTTTGTAATTTTATGTTCAAAATAGAGTTCTCCACCTATGTTATAAATTGGTTTTCTGACTGGTACCTATCGCCTACATGCGTGTGCTCCACTATTGGACCAAGTACTAGTACAGTCAATAATGTTGCTTTCATTGATCTGCTTATGTGGGAATAACTCATAAATGTTGATAATTCTCTTTGGTAGATTACAATACCACTACGAATAGACTACTTAACCTATGAACAACAAACGTCAAATTAGGTTTGGAATTATTGGCCATTCATTGATCAATATCCTTAAAAGGTTCGGCCTCATGTAAAGCATTAACTTTCCTGGATTAGCAAGCCCGCTTTAATTTGTAGTAATGTAAAAAAAATGGGAACTTGGAAATTCTTTTGATTATCAATCCCATATTAAAACAAAGCCTTTTTATGGGATGTTTGAAATTATTTGAATTTGGACTATTTTTTCTTTTGGTGAATTTGGGACGAACATGGAAGATGAAACAAGGTTACATACAATAACCAATTTGTGCCTTCTCTTTGTTATAGTTATGAATTGTTAGATAACCAGTAGACCTAAAAGAAAATTGGCAAGAAAAGAGATTTTAAAAAGTCAAAGTATATCTTTGTCACTAATAGTAACTTAAATTTTATAGGAGATTTGATTTCAAATTTTTTGAAATTAGCTAAATAGCTTGACAAAGAAAAAGACTTGAAAAAAAAAATTATAAGAGAAAAGATATTTTTGTTAGGTAAGTTAATAGATTTATAGATAGTGAAAATCTCTAAGGTTAATATGAAAAAAAAGATATAAAAAAATTATAAGAATTTTTTTTGAATAAACATCTCATAGGATTAGAGAAAATTAAGATAGTTCTTATGAGTGCGTATATTTAAATGTTTTATATGAAAATACTTCATAAGATTAGAAAAAATTATGAATGTTAATGAATATTATAATTGTTATGTTTGTGAATGAATTATAAGAGAATGAAATAGTCTACATAGATATGTTTGAATATTTGTTTGACTAAAAAAAATTAAAAGGGATATTATGATTGTTATATTTGTGAGTAGATTAGAGAAGAATGTGATAGTCTACATGGATATGTTTGAATATTTATTTGGGTTAAAAATATTTTATAAAACTAAAGGAGAATGTCCATGAGTATTAATTATATGTGATTATTTGATTGTTGATAATTTATTTGTAATTTTTTATAATTAATAAAATTTTTCTTTTATTCGTGAAAATAAGTAAATTGAGTGTAAAACCACATTAAATTGCTATATTTTGTGTTGATGATTTATAACTGGAGCTTCTACTTGCTTAATTGTCTAATTTATTAAAATTTTTTATTTAACAATTGAAATCAAAATTGTCATGATCCTAGCCTTTTATATCTTATGTGAAAAGTACTTAAAAAGCTAGTAAATCTAAAAGTTTTAAGTTCAAACAATAGGCTAAAGGTCCATTTATCTTGTAACTTTCACCATTTTACGTGCAAGCTCATAAGTTGACTTGATCTTACATAATGCAAATGCCAACTTGGAGTGCACGTTTCAGTTACATTCTTTGTTTTCATTTTGATATATAGGGAGTTGAATCTTAAACAACTTACCACCACCAATTTGATTTTGTTTCAAAGTAAAAGTTTAATTAAGATCAAACTAAGCAAAGACCAAACTATAAACTTGCCATGGATTGATTGATAGAGTGCTTGAAACATGTTCTTTTTACACACCAACAAGATCAGGAGAAAAATATATAGTAGAGCTAAACCCTAAATTTTAATATTTTTTATTGAAAAGGGAAGTTAAACTTCAAACCCAATTCTTTTAAGTAAGAGATACATGTATTTATCATTGAATTGAAACCTTCAAGCAGATTTTAATTAACCAATCTTTTTATAAGCATGCACTTACTACTAAACCATGCTCAATTGCAAATTTAATTTAAATATAAGCAATATAAATGTATATAGTGTAAAACTTTCGGGTAATTTTCTAGATGACTTCATCAATTAATCTACTAAGGAATAGGAATAATAGTTAAAGGAAGGAAATTGGACTGTTATGTCTTCCAAAATAATAGGCAAAAATTTTGACAGCTTTAAGCTTTGCACAAAAGATATGGTATTCAGCTTTTATATATATGTCAAGATGTTCTGAAATTTCCATGGTAGTCCTGAATTCCTGTCATGCAGATTTCATTGTTGCTTTCATTGATCTGCAATTAATACGAAGGCTGAATCTTTGTTTATGCCACTATGAATTGTCTAATATGAAGATTGAACTTTGTTAATTTAGACTATGTCATCTCTCTCACATGTCGATTGAGGGGCTCAGTTATGCATTATTTGGTCAGGATCAGTACTTCCCATGTATATCTTTGTTAAGAAAATGGAGCTTAGGGTTTTGGATTGAAGTAGCAAAATTTTCTGCTCATTTGGATTAATGAATTCAATTCAAATATCCAAAAAAAAAAATAAAAGGAAAAAAAATCTAATCTCTCTGAAATATCAAAGTCTTTGTTAACAAGTATGATTTCTTGTTTTCTTTGATTGTATATTGTACCATCCAAACAAACATATGATCCGAAATATGGACATTACAAGAAAACATAGTGCTCGAGTCGAGGATGAAGTAACATCAAAGCAAAGCATCATTGAAAACTCCAATTTCTTGGAGTCCTTGATAAAATCGTCTTCATTAAAGTCAATTTTTTTATAGACAATCCAGATTGAGCGACGAATTATAGCACGCTTCTGCTTTGAATTGTCTTGATGTACTCCAGAGCCTGTTCTGTCAAAGAAGGAAAATGCTTTAACTGAAATGGCATAATTTGTCACAAGCAATTAGAACTTTTGCAAAAGGATCAACAAGTGCAGTTCATAGTTATGAATTGACCCACGTTTGGTAGTTGTTTTCGTAAGTTTTTCTGATAAAAATGCCTAAAACAGACACAAAGGTGAGGCCAAATTAATTAAACATTTCCACTATTTTTTTCTGGTTAAATAGGTCTTTACTGCAATACACCTAACCACAACCTAGCTGCAGCAACATGGAGACGTGTTTCATCATTCTGATCATATCCATTTGCATTTCGGCTGTCATAAAATCCATCTTCAACGTTCTTTTCACCACCAGAAAACCCTCCTACAGTCTCCCTCCCGGGCCTTCTACGTTTCCCATTATTCGCACCTTCCTATGGCTCCGCAAGTCTTCTTTCGAACTTGAGCAAAGCCTCCGATCCATCCATGCTAAATTTGGCCCTATAGTCACCCTTTGGTTCGGCTTCCGCCCTGCCACCTTCATTGCTGAACGTTCCTTAGCTCACCAGGCCTGGATCCATAATGGTGCCGTTTTTGTTAACCGCCCCAAGGCCCAAACCCCATGTCGTCAATAATATTGTCACATCAACTCTGCCTTCTATGGCCCCATTTGGCGCCTAGTGAGGCGCAACCTAACGTCTGAAATTCTCCATCCTTCACGTACAAAATCCTACTCTGATGCACGAAATTGGGTGCTCATAATCCTGTTAGATTGCTTCAAGTCCCAGTGTAAATTCGGTTCTCCAGTTTATGTACTAAAGCATTTCCAACATGCTGTGTTTTGCTTATTAGTAATAATGTGTTTTGGTAACAAGCTCGAAACAGAACGGATTAAAAGAATTGAGGAGGTCCATCGTGGCTTGCTGTTGAATCTTGGTAGATTCAATATACTAACTTCTGGCCAAGTGTGACAAAAATTGTATCTCGCAAAAGATGGCAAGAGTTATTGCAAGTAAGAAGAAAGAAAGAAGACGTTTTGATCTCTCTGACGAGCAATAAGAAACATAAGGGAAGAGATCTCAAGCAAAACAAAACAAGAGAAAGATGAATATGTCTTAGCATATGTTGATACGTTGTTTGATCTACAGCTTCCATAAGAGAATAGAAAGTTGAAGGAAGAAGAAATGTTTAGTCTTTGCTCAGAGTTTCTGAATGCAGGTACCGATACTACATCAACAGCTTTGCAATGGATCATGGCAAATTTGGTCAAGTATAAAAATATTCAAGCCAAGCTATACTGGGAAATAAAAGGGGTTGTCCGAGAGAGAGCAGAAATGGTTAGAGAAGATGATCTACATTAAATGCCATATCTCAAAGCTGTGATTTTAGAGGGCTTAAGGCGTCACCCTCCTTTACATTTTGTACTACCACACGGGGTTACAGAAGATGTAGTTTTGAATGGTTGCTTGGTACCTAAGAATGGTACATTGAATTTTATGGTAGCAGAGATGGGTTGGGACTCAACAGAGTGGGAAGATCCCATGGCATTCAAGCCAGAAAGGTTTTTGAGCAATGGTGAAAAGGCAGGGGATGCTTTTGACATAACTGGAAGTAGGGAGATTAAGATGATGCCATTTGGGGTTGGAAGGAGGATTTGCCCTGGCCTTGCTTTGGCCATTCTTCACTTAGAGTATTTTGTGGCAAATTTGGTTTGGCAGTTTGAGTGGACTGCTGTCGATGGAGATGATGTAGACTTAACGGAGAAACAAGAGTTTACTACAGTGATGAAGTGTCCATTAAAAGCTCATTTAACTCCAAGGTTTGGATGAGGATATTGTTCATTGTCTGCAGAAAAAGCAGCAAAAATATAAGCATGTGGCTGTTATGTATATATATATATTATCCAAATTTGACATAATACCTTTGTGAACCTTAAATAAACCATCAGCCATTGTCCCCAAGGCACCTTGCCAAGGCAGTCTCTTGAATCTAGGCCAGCAGATAATTTCAACTATTTATTTTTAAGTTGTTTGTCTCTGGAAGGTTTTGTAAGATAGAAAATGTAATAGCAGAATGTCACCAGGAAAATACAGTCAAATGGCTGATGTTTTTCTTGTGGATTTATGATGATTTGGATGAATATGAAAACTTGGTTCTGCTCCTATTTCTTGGCAGACTAAAAAGCAATCCACTGTCTCTAGATCTTCTGCCGAAGCTGAGTATATTTCCATGGCTGCCGCTACTTCATAACTATTATGGTTGTGATCTCTTCTTACCGATCTCATTGTTTCACATGCTAGCCCTATTTTTCTTCATTGTGATAATCAAACCGCATTTCATATTGCTACCAATTCTGCGTTATGTTAAAAAACGGTATTTTTATATACAAATTACAATTTTATTAGCACAATTCAAATTAACTTGACTATGTTATAAAAAAAATATTATTATTTATAAGATTACGGATTAAACTTATAAGGTATTCAAATAAAATAAGAAAGAGATGACATATCCCTAAAACATCACTTCTACCAAATTCATAAATTTATTTTAACAATTTATAGTTCATATTTAATAATCAATTATATGAAAAATATATCACACAACTTGATTTAATTATTTGTGGATGAAAAATCATATTAAAAAAAATATGATATTAGAACACATATAACATTTAAAAGATTTAAAATCTTTTTTTTTTGGGCAAAAAAATCACATTGCATTGATGTCAATATTAAAAAAAGAAAAAGTAATAAAAAAGAAATAAAGGACCTAAAATAAAAAAAAAAATGCCAATTTTTTTACTTACATAGATTTTCAGTCATAAAATTTTTTTTTTAAGAAAAAAAGAATTATGTTGCACATCTGGGCCATGCTCATACTAAACTCAGAACCCAACGGCCCATTAATTATGATTTGGATTTGTTCTGTTAATCGAAGCCAAAAGGGTAAAATGGAGAATTTACAAAGTTCTGTTAAGGAGCCAGCCTCATTCGCTGAATCGCTATCCAATTCCATCTTTCAGGTACCCCCCAATTTCTCTCAGTTTTTCTTCAATTACTCAATTTCTTCTATAACAATTCCTCATCCGTTCCAATTTCACCATTTTCCAGGCTCAGCCGAAAAAAACCCAGATTGAAAATGGCAATGGCACTGGCAATGACCACAGATTGTGCAAGTAGTAGATGGAGCATGGCATCTTTAAAGTCAGCTCTGCCGCCACTCGCTTCAACAGCTTCTTCCATTAGATATCCATGTCATCGTCGTCGTAGCTCTTCCAAATGCCCTCAGCTTGTTCGCTCTTTCACTGGTCTCTCTCCTGTTAACCCTCTCCATTCCCTCGGTTCCTCTGGTAATACTAATGCGTCTCTCCTCCCACTTTCTTTTTTATACCCTTTTCTTGTAATTACTTAAATTTGCTTTTTGAATAATTAAAATAACAAAATTAGAATCTTTTTGTGTTTTGGTGAATGAAATTCATGGTTTTTTTTACTTTCATAGAGAACAATTAAGTTACACTTAGTGTTACATTTCAGTTCATTCTTAATCAGTTCATGTTAGAATTTGCTATGAATTACTTAAAAATTGGATTACTTGAGACTTTTAAGTGTTTTCTTCTGACAATTGGGATTTTGATAATAAGAATTGACTATTGAGGATTGAGAATGTTGAATGTCCATTGAAATTTTTACATTTCTTGAGAGTTTTATTTGAGATCATTTGTTCTACATTTGTACTCTCTAATAACTTTGCTTTATTTATTAGTGGGTACTAGGCAGTAGCTTTATGGAATAGTTTTTCTTTCAAGTTATGCGAAACAGAATTACTAATGATCTATAACTCTAATTATTATGTCACTAGTCACACAAACATTGGCAGACCTCAACAGCTTTGAGCACAACTTCACCATAATTGATAATGGTTTTAAAGTTTATGCTATGAGGCATGGCCGACGAGTACCTAAACTCAACAGGCCTCCTGACCAGCGTCGTGCACTCCTTCGATGTCTCACCACTCAGCTCCTTAAATATGGTCGGATCAAAACCACCAGGGCTAGGGCAAGCGCTATGAGGAAGTATGTTGACAAGATGATCACCTTAGCTAAGGATGGTTCTCTTCACAAAAGAAGGCAGGCACTTGGCTTTATTTATGAGAAACAAATTGTGCATGCGCTATTTGCTGAGGTGCAAGATAGGTATGGTGAAAGAAATGGTGGATATACAAGAATTATTAGAACCCTACCTAGACGAGGGGACAATGCGCCGATGGCCTACATCGAACTTGTGTAGGTACTTTCTGTTGTTAAGGAACATTGCTTGATTGTATGAACGGTTGCCTGTTTTGATATGCATCAGTGCAGCTGAACAAGGTTTGTCTTAATTCGTATTTTGTTTACCTTCAATCATGTATGTCCCTTGATGCTAGATGATGTTTTAGCTATATTTTCATACCAGTTTAATATTTGGTTGAATAAATAATGTCCATATAATATCCACATAGTTAAAATGCAATTAAGGCACATCTTGACATCCCAGAATTCATGGCTAAATGTTTACTACAATTTTTCTTGATCAGGGCCATTTCCGTTGTCTATTTTCCTATGATGGGCTGACTTCAATTATTGTTCACTACAATGTTTCTGATCCTTATCATATTTGGCATGTCAGGTTTATTGAAAAGGACCAAATAATCCAAATTCACTTATTTATGCTTTGATCCTGAATTCAGTAGTTTCTTAACCCGTGTGAACAATCCTGGCTTCATAATGCTTAAGATGAGCCTCTAATTCGAATATGGGTAGGCCTCCATGATGGGCCTTTTGGATATCGCTGAATTTTGGATCTTCTATCAACAAAAAAATGGGTTGGGAAAACGAAATTATTCGACATGGATTCTACAAACATTTGATTCAACAATGAATGTTTATTTCTATTAACTTAAAGAATTGACTTACGATTCTTATCATCAACATAAAAAAAAAAAATTAACATAATTTTTTTTGAGAAAAAAATATAAGTATCATTGAAAAGTAGAAGCAAAAATGTAGAAGTCATTGTTAGAAAAATCATCCGGTGAAACCCCAACATATCTAGTACTCTAATTTCTTTATTAAACACTTGAAGGCAGCAGCTAGGTTCTTTTTTTAAATCAATTCAGGCTTTGATCTTATATAAAAGTAATAATGACTGGCAGTTAATTTTACTTTTTGACAAAATGGAAACTTGGTTCCTTGTCATCTCTGCACTTTGCATATCTGCAATCCTCAAAGCCTTCTTTAACCTCATCGTCCCGTCCCAAATACCAGGCGCCAAGCTCCCCCCAGGGCCTCCTAAATTTCCCATCATTGGCAACTTCTTATGGCTTCACAGGTACGAATCCTTCTCGGATCTTGGTCCAATCCTTCGAAGTCTCATCCCAAAGTTTGGTCCCATGGTAACTCTCCATGTCACCTCTTATCTTACCATCTTTGTTTCTGATCGCTCCGTTGCACACCAGGCCCTAATTGAGAATAGTTCTGTTTTTGCTGATCGACCACCGGCACTTACAATTGGGAAAATAATTAGTAGAAACCAACATAATATTGGTTCTGCTGCCTATGGCCCTACTTGGCGTATTCTGCGAAGAAACCTGACGGTGGAAATTCTTAATCCTTCTCGGGTAAATTCTTACTCTCAAGCTCGGATAAGGGTCTTGCATATGCTCAAGGAGCAGCTGATCAAGTCACAAAATACTGGTGATTCTATCCGTGTGGTGGACTATTTTAGACATGCCATGTTTTGCTTACTAGGCCTCATGTGTTTTGGAGCTCAGCTTGATGAAAACCAGATTAAAAAAGTTGAGGTAGTTCAAAGGGACTTGCTGTCGAATATCCATAGGTTTGATATACTAAACTTCTGGCCAAGGGTGACAAAGATTTTGTTTTATAGGCTTTGGAAGGAGTTCTTGCAAATTCAACGAAATCGAGATGATGTTTTTATCCCATTAATAAGAGCACGAAAGAAGTCAAAGGAAGAGAACTTAATCAACAAGATGAAAGAGGATAAAGAAAGGAAAGAAGATGATGATTTCATTTTATCATATATTGATACTTTGTTGGATTTACAACTTCCTGAGACGAAGAGGAAACTTGATGAAGGGGAAATTGTGGCTTTGTGCGCTGAATTTCTTAATGCTGGCACGGATCCTACAACCACAGCATTGGAATGGATTATGGCAAATTTGGTCAAGTACCCACATGTTCAAGAAAAGCTGTATATGGAGATTAAGGGGGTTGTGGGGGATGCAGCTGTAGAGGTCAAAGAAGATGATTTGAATAAGATGCCTTATCTAAAAGCGGTGGTTTTGGAAGGTCTAAGGCGTCACCCTCCTGCACACTTTTTGTTCCATGGAGTGACAAAAGATGTAATTTTGAACGACTTTTTAGTGCCTAGAAAGGCTATTATAGTTTTCTTCATTGAAGAGATGGGATTGGACTCCAAGATTTGGGAAGATCCCTTGGCATTCAATCCGGAAAGGTTTCTACATGGTGAGGAAGAGGTTGACTTAACAGGTAGGACGGAGATTAAGATGATACCATTCGGTGCAGGAAGGAGGATATGTCCAGCTCATAGTTTGGCCATGCTTCATTTAGAGTATTTTGTAGCCAATTTAGTTTGGTTTTCTAAGTGGAAGGCCAAGGATGGAGAGGACGTTGATTTGTCAGAGAAAAAGGAACTTACATTTGTGATGAAAAATCCATTGCAAGCTTGCATTTATAGCTGGCCTAGGCTAGGCATGGTTGGCTGATTATACGCTTAATGCCTGTGTGGTTGGTTGAGTTGGTAAAGATGAAATATTACGCTCGATTTCGCCTATCAATAGTCTCCTTGTAAATCTAATCTAAGTCCTTTATGAAACGTGCGATCTGTTTTGATCTTGAAATGGAGAAACCTCCCCTCACCTTAAATTTTTTAGCACAAAATATATATGAATTTAGCTTTTGGAAATGCATCTCTTGCAGAAACTTGTTAATGTTTATCAGGAAATTTTACATAGTCTTGACAGGCCAATACAGAGAAGCTGCTACAAGCCCTCCCTCCCTTCAAATTTTGTCACAGAATGCCTTAACCTGCATGTCATGCCATTGAGTTTCCGATTGTTTTGTGCTGTTTGTGCTTTTCTATTGGATCGGATAAGGTTGCCATATGTTGATTTAGCATGTGTGCATATATATTTAATTGCCCGCAAGACGTATGCACTTTTCCTTTAGTTTGTTTTCATTAGTTTGTTTATTCAATTTGCTTGATATTTGTACTCAAACCTCTTGAAGTTGAAAAATAATTAAAAATCTAGTATTACTATTCATTCTTTGTTTTTCTTTATTTTTTGAAAGCATTTCTAACTTTAAGGGAATAAGTCATTGCCACACATATAAAATAATAATTCATCACTTAAAGATAGCAACAGAAATAAAAAGAAAACCTCTTAAAATATTGTCCATGTCCAACTTTGAACCACACCTAATATACTTGTATTATCAGATAATCTTACTTTAATCTAATGTTGAAATTTGAACCAAAAATATAAATCAATTGATTTATACAATTATCGTTAAAAAATGTCCTTTTTTTTTTTTTTGCTGCAACTCTGATAATTTAACGTGCTCCTGGCAATTTTAAATTCAGATTACTTGCTTGTTAAGCAAATCTACTGATAGCAGCCAGGTAACAACGAAAATAACTGATTTGATTAAAAATTTCCTTTTTTTTTTTTCAAGTAGTGTAGATGGCATCTTTTTTATCTTCTAAGAACCAAATGAAACAATGAATTTAGAGAGATTAAACAATTATTTCCTCCTTTTCAAATTGCAATTTCTGCCTGCCAATTTTAAAATTTAGAGAGATTCAATCAACCATTGGGTCTGTAATTTATGTCGGTTGAAACGAATGAGTGTTCAACTCTGTAATGTTCTCCAATTTATTTGGACTTCTTGTACCTTGGACTGCATGTCCCAATAGATTTCCACAGATCAAACAAGGTTGAAGCCTCTAAAAAGGTCATTTTAATGTTGTCCATTATCTTCAATAAACAATAACAAATATGTCATTATGCATCTCCCATTCTTGCATTTCCTAGGTTTCCAAATGAAAAGAAAGAGGTGACATTTTAGAATGGAATGCATTATCATCACAGAAAAGATATTGTATACGTGCTCTCTTGGAGACTCAGTCATTTTTCTTTGTTTCCCAGTTAAAATAACCATAAAATTATTGGTACTTGAGTATATGGCATGACCATCACAAAACGTACTTCTCTCTTGGTGACTCAGAGCTGATTTGTGATCATCCTGGCTCGACAAATATGTATCCTTGTCAAGACAATCACTATGGTTCAAAACCCACCCACATTGGACTACCTTTATACAGTTTATCAATTGAACTAACATAAACAAAAAGACTAAAGCCAGTCAATATAAACAAGAACTGATAATTTTAAATATGACAAAAAAATGATACGAAAGAAGACATAAAATTAACATGATTTAAAATTTTAGTAAAAATTATATATGAATTTGATAAAATAAAAAATATGTTTTGTTCTTAATATAAACTCCTCTGCTTTTATCCCTTTAAATATCATATACTGCAGCAGTTTCAGTACTCCACCAGCCATCTTGTTTTGAGTTGCCAGAATGGAAACTTGGCTTATCATCATATCCTCTCTCTTCATTCCTGCAATTCTTAAAACCCTCTTTAACCTTCTTTTCCCTTAAAGAAAACCTACCCACAACCTTTCTCCTAGCCCCTTCACCTTGCCTATCATTGGGAACCTGTTATGGCTACGCAAATCCTTTACTGACCTCTAACCAATCCTCAGAGACCTGCACTTAAAGTTTGGTCCCATAGTTCATGTTACCTCACGCCCTGCTATCTTCATTTCTGATCGCTTCCTTATCCACCAAGCCTTGATCCAAAATGGTGCGGTTTTTGCTGATCGTCCTCCAGCTCGTCACTCGCAGAATTGTTAGTAGCAATCAACATACCATTAATACCGCTGCTTATGGCCATACATGGCGCGTTCTACGTAGGAACCTCACGGCGGAAATACTCAACCATTCCCGTGTCAGATACTACTCTCGTACCCGTAAATTGGTATTGCAGATACTCAAGGAAAAGCTCAGTATGAAGTCTGGTGAAGCTATCATTGTGGTGAACTATCTTAGATATGCCATGTTTTGTTTATTAGTCCCCATGTGTTTTGGTGACAATTTTTATGAGAGCCAGATAAAAAAATTTGAAGACGCTCAGCGCTACATTCTACAGAATTTAGAGGTATTCAATATACTAAACTATTGGCCAAAAGTGACAAAGATCTTGTTTTATAAGAAATGGAAATATATCTTGCAAATTCGCAAGAATCAGGAAGACCTATTGATCCCTTTAAGGACCAGAAAGAAGGTGAAGCGAGAAAGCTTGAGCAAGTCGAAAGAGGGTAAAGAGAAAAAAGATGGAGAAGAGCATATTGTGTCATATGTTGATACACTATTGGATCTACAACAGCCTGAGGAGAAGAGGAAACTTGATGAAGGGGAAATCGTGAGTTTGTGCTCTTAGTTTCCTAATGCTGGCACAGATACTACATCCACTGCACTGCATTGGATTATGGCAAATTTGGTGAAATATCCACATATTCAGGAGAAGCTATTCATGGAGATTATAGGGGTTGCGGATGGAAAAGATGAGGTCAACGAAGATGACTTGCAGAATATGACTTATTTGAAGGCAGTGATCTTGGAAGGGCTAAGAAGGCACCCTCCTGCACCCTTTGTGCTGCCACATTGAGTAACAGAAGATGTTGTTTTGAACAACTTTTTGGTGCCTAGGGAGGGTATTGTAAATTTTTTCATTGCTGAAATGGGATGAGACCCGAAGGTTTGGGAAGATCCTATGGCATTCAAACCAGAAAGGTTTCTTAATAGTGGTTGCAGTGAGGAAGTGCTCGATATAACTGGCAGCAAGCAGATCAAAATGATACCATTTGGGGCAGGGAGGAGGATGTGTCCGGCTTATGGTTTGGCTATGCTTCATTTGGAGTGCTTTGTTGCAAATTTAATTTTATCCTTTGAGTGGAAGGCCGTGGATGGAGATGATATTGATTTGTCAGAGAAGCAGGAATTTACAATGGCAATGAAGAATTCATTGCAGGCTCACATATATCCAAGCCTTAGGTATTAAGGCTGTGGCTGAATAAAAAACTAACATTAATTTGGAAATTTTATAAGCAGCATATCGTGATTTGTCAGAGAAGAAAGAATTTTCCATTGCAAGCTTGCATATAGCCCGGCCTAGGAAAGTTAAGGCTGGCTTATCGGAAATGTATCTTTTACAGAAACTTGTCGCTGTTTCTTCGTAACTTTTTCACAGCGTTGACAAGTCATTACAGAAAAGCTGCTACAAGCAAGCCCTCCCTTCATATTTTGTCCTAGAATGGCTTACCATGTCATGGCCTTGAGTTTCTGATTTATTTGTGCTTCTCGCGCTTTTCCATTGAATCGGATAAGATCGATGTCCACATGTTGGTTTAGCATAGGTATCTATTTTTCTAAACAATATATATATATATATATATGTACCGTTAAAAAAAAGGCGTATCTACATGGATGTTGTTGACTATCCTTGATTTTTTATATTAACGACGAATTCTGTCTCCTTTTTTTTATATAAAAAAAATTGTAGTTTAAGAATAAAAAAAAATATTATAAGAACTGAAATTTAAATTTCAAACAAGTATAATTATATAAATTAAGTTTTGAATTCATAATTTTGTCTCCCTTTCTTTCTCAACTTATTAATTTATTGCCTGTACAATTAAGTTATAACATGTAAATTACCTTTGCTTCATTTAATTATCATGACATAACGTGACATCCTTCATTAATCACCTAAATCTGATTAATTTTAATTAAAGTTAGATTTAGTGATCAATGATAATCCACAAATCCACCATCACCAAAAGGATTTTGAGATGTCGTACGAGTAAATAAGTTTAAATTACAGAGATGATAATAAATTATTATCATATGCAGTGGAACAAGAAACGTTGGATGTATTTCACCTATAAAATTTTATTTTAATATTATAATTAGTTAATTATAATAAAAAATTATATAAAATTTTATTATTTAAAAGTATAAGTTCAACATAATTTTTTTAATAGATGTTATATAATATTAAATTTTAATTAATTAATTATATTATAATAATTATAAATGATTTATCTCGCCATTTTTGTTTCAATTATTGGTACACATGATTTGACGATAATTTATTACCCAAATTTAAGGAGGATCAAACAATTCATTACTTGTAAAATAAAATATTGTAAAATGACGTTTGGTTTAGAGAAAAGTTTAATTATTTTTTAATTTTTTATTTTTTATAATTTAATTTACACATTTAGTTTATAGTATTTGGTTTTTATGAATATTTTAAGATTTTTAAAAATGTTCAAATATTTCGAAATCATAAATTCATCTTTCTTTGTGATTTTTTTAGATTCCAAAAAAAAAAATTTTTGTCCCACGTTTGGTCTTAAGAATAAAATATTTTATTTTATTTTTAAAAATTAATGTAATTACATAATAAATGAAGACATATTCTGACACAAAAATAGACATTTATAATTACACGACTAGATAAAAGTATAATTTTAACCACATAATTAAACACCTGACATACCATTAGACACGTAGTATATTACATATAATAAAAATAATATTTTTAAAAGAACAAACAAAGTAGATAACAATAATTTTATGTTATCAAATTTTTTTTTTTTAAAACCACTACATTTTTTATATATGAAACGTAATAGATCAATTAAATAATTAAAAAATAAAATAAATATTTTTATATCAATGATATTTTTAATATGAGAAATGTAATAATTGATATAATATTAAAAAAATTATGATACTCGAAAACATAACACTTGCAAACGAAAATCACTTTTTTTTTTTGTTTCAAAATATAGTTGATAATGACTAAAAATAATAAAGTAAAGTTACATTTGACTGAGTGTTTTGTTGACTTAAGAAATATAAAATTTATGTATTTTGTTTATAGTAATATAAATTTATTTAATAAAATTTTTTATTATATTGTCATCGATAATACATAAATAATGTGTGATATTTATAATACTGAAATGTCATTTAAAAAATTTTATGTTTTTTAATCTTAAGAGCATAGTCTTTGTTAAATTTAAAAAAAATAATTTTTGATATTTTTAATAAATATTATATTTTTTATATTAAAACAGTAATATTTGTTGAATTCTAAAAAATATTTTTTCAAATTTTCAATAAAGATTATATTTTTATCTTAGAAATATCATCTTTTCAACAAAGATTGTATCTTTATCTAAATATCTTATTTTCAATAAAGATTGTAATTTCTATCTTAAAAATGTTATTTTTATTAAATTCTAAAAAATGTATTTCATATGTTTAATAAAGATTACATTTTTTATCTTAAAAAATATTATTTTATATGATCAATTATATCTCATATATTAAAAACATAGTACTTTTGAAACTATAAAAAATTCAAAATTCATATTTTTCAACAACCAACTTCGTTTTTTTCTTAAACATTGTTTTTATTATAATTAATCTTTTTATAACATATTATAACATACGATTATATTTCTAATAATAACATATAATTATATTTCTAACATAACAATTTTAAGTAAATTAAAAATTTTAAGTTTACGTATTAGAATATGTCTCAATTTATCATACAATTATGTTGATTTTTAAAAGTAAAATAAAAAAAATTTATTATTGAGGATAAAAGTGAAATAAATTTTACATTTGACTGATAATCTTAAAAATTTTCAAGGATAATAGGTTTTTGATTTAAAGCCATCACTCTTATTTTTTAATATTGTTGAAAATCATAAAAAATTTTAAAAATTAGATTTCGTGAACCAAATTAAATAATCAAATTACAAAAAAAAAATTTTGATCAATAATCTAATTTTCTTCTAAACCAAATATCCTCTAATCAAATTACAAAAAATAAAAATTTCAATAAATAATCTAATTTTTTCCTGAATCATATACCTTCTAGATGTATTACAAAAAGTTATCGAGCGTGATCCACGATAGTGAGCTAGTGCTTGGAAAGTTCCAACCCAAACTTGTTCTACCATACCCATTTCAAAGCCAAAAAGTATCCCAAAAATTAGAAAAAGAATAAAATTAAAAATGAAACAATATTTTTGGGATAATTTTTTATTTTTAGTATTTTTTGCTTTTATTATGTTATTGTTTCTTTTTAATTTTTGTAATATTTTAAAAAATTATTATACAATTGTCCACTTAATCTAATCTTTCCCAATCCAATCACTCATTTATCCTATAGAAATGTCATATTGCATATATATATATATATATATATATGCATATTTTTTACGAAAGAATCTGTTATTTAAAAATAAAAAATTATTCAACCCTATAAAAATGCTATATGACATACATATATATATTTTAAAAAAATTTAAATGAGTTTAAATTTTATCACCCTTTAACTCTTTATTTACACCCTCTAATTAATTATTTATTGTCACATAATTTTTTTAGTTTTAGGAATATATTATTTCATATTGAATTAATAATAATTTCTTCAATGCCTTAAAATTTTAAAATTTTAAATCCATTTATTTTTCTTCGTTTTTCAACGTGTACTCTCTTTTTCTATCCTTTTTCATCACTTATATATAATTAATCATGTATCTTTTTTTATTATTTATTTTATTAATAAATAAATTGATTATATATTTTATTATCATTTATATGTTCTTTTATATGATTGTTTTTATTTAAAATAATAATAATTTTAAAAATATTACTATATCTATACATCTTAAAATAAAAACAACTAAATATTTGTTTACTTTATTATTTATACAATTATCTATTTTATTTTTTCATTCACTAATAATCTATGTGATTATAAAATTGATTTTTTTTGTATTTATTATTTTAGCTATTAATTAATTAATTTATATAATTATATAAATGATATGTTAAGTAATTATAGTTAATTAATTTAAAAAATAAAATAAATAACTAAACAAATAATGGAGAAAGCCAATCAAAGCCTATAAGTGTTAGGATATATCTGTCCAGGGACGACTCTAGAGTGGAGGCAACTGTTTCGATTAAAATCCTGAAAAATAATTTTACCGTTAATAAGTTACCCAAAAATTTAATGATTCTTATAATTAACTCCCACTAAAATCTAAAAAATAAGTAAAATTATTAAAAACAAATCCAAATTTTTTAATTTTTTCTCCACAAAATTGTAAAAGAAACATTTAAGTATAGATCTTTTATAATATTGAAAAGTATGTGGATGTATTAATAAAATAAAAAAGATAATTGAATAAAATAATGGTTCACAATATAAATATAAAATTATTATTATTATTATTGGTAGTTGATATAATAATTTCTTTGACTTTAGTTGAAATTAAATAAAAAAAAATCAGAAACTGAAAAAGACTCTAAAAAAAGAAAATTAGAATGGGTAAAAGAAAAAAAAAACTGTTTGTTAGGAATCAAACAATTAACTAAAAGAAAAGAAAAAAGAACTTGTGGAAAATGAGATCTAAATTAATTTAGTGTAAATATAAAAAATAAGATTTCTACCTAAAAAACTAAATAAACATTTTTTAACTTTTTTTTGTCTTTTTAATATGATCCAGTAAGCTTATTTGATAATTTGAATTTTTGTTAAAGTTTTTATATTTAAATTAATTTTGATAGCATAATATAAAGATTTAATATTTTTTTTGAAGTTATCCAATTTTTTTTTGAAGTTATGTGATATATTTTTATTACGGCTTGTACAATGAAATTACTTAAATTACGACATCCTAATAAAAAAAAAAGTGAATTTGGATAACATCCTTTTGAATTTTAGATAAAATTGTTTCCAAAGCAACCATATATGAAAAAATATTTTAAAAAATAATGTAAAGAGTTTTTTTTTTATAAAGTTGAATTTTTATATTTTTTTAAAATTTTATACAGATATTTTATTATTTCATATTTCTAGAAGTATTTGATATTGTGTTAATGAAATTTATTTTAATTTGTACTAATTCTTGTAAACAAATATTATTTTAAAATTTGTTATCATATAAATTTTGAATCCATCACTGAATCTATCCATATATAGTAATTCATAAAAAAATAAAAAGAAAAGAAAGACCATCAACATTAAACAAAGGGAGCTTCTAAATGCATTATGATTTTTACTCTTCACACCTAATTTTTTTAAGTAAAATTATTTAAATACTCTTATCATAAGTTTTATGATATTTATATATAGTAAGTTTTATAATTTTTTGGAAATTCATTTTAGAAAAATTTTATAACTTATTGAAATGAAATTTCGGTAAGATAAAAATTTATGAAAAATTACAAAAAGGATTTTATTAAAATTTTTATTAATTAGTTTAAAGAAAAAAGTATTATTAGAAAAAATAATAAATTTCAATATGAATGAAAAAAAAGTTAATTTTACTACTTTGATCTTAAAGAAAAAATAAAATCTTATGAAAGATAATGAAGAAATTATAAGGTTTGATCAATATATAACAAACAATCAGTTGATATTAATTGTCAATTTAGATAATTTTATAAATAAAAAATCAAAATCAAATAATTTTAGATAATTAAAATTTTAATTAAAACTTTTAAACCAAAATAGAATAATTTTAAGTAATTAAAAGTTCAATTAAAACTTTTAAAAGTTTAAAGAGCAAAATAAAATTTAAGTTGAACGTTTTAAAGATGGTAATTTTTAAAACAAAATCGGACTTAAAAGGAAAACGAAAAATTGAAGGAAAAGATGCAAACCGACACGGCGCCATCAATGGAAAGTTGGAAAACTCCCAATGTTTCGGTGATTTCGAATAAATTTAAAACCGATGCCCAATTCAAAAGAAAATTCAAAAGCCGTTTTGATCCCTCCGGAATCCGAAGGTAATCTTTTTTTAACCTTTTTTTTCTAGGGTTTAGGGTTTTATGAATTTCGTTTATTTTTTATTGTATTCGTGAAGTTGAATGTTTATTCTTTTGAGAAAATTTTGCCCAATTTTCTTTTATCTGTTCTTTTGTTTTTTGATGGTTTTTTTTCCCCATAAAGTTGGTTTCATTTGGGTGGGTTTTTAGTTTTTTCTAAATTTGATGTTCTTATAGTTTTGATCAATGGGTTGGGTTCCTTTTGAAAAGATTAAAAATTTTGAATGTCAAAATTTTTTTTTTCTTTTGGTTGCATATTTAGTTTCTAAAATTATGGGTATAATGTTTTTGTTAGCTTGAATTTTGACAGGGTTTAATGAATAGCTGCCTACGAATCAAATTTTCGATATTGGGTGTCTTAAGAATTTAAATATGGGACCTGACTTAAAGCTGACTGAGAAATCCGAAGCCACATCGAAGGTGGTTTCCACTGAAAAGAAAAAAGGAAGTGTAGCTCAAAATCAAGATGAGGGGATGCAAGGAAAAATGGATATAAAGGTTGATTTTGCTGAATGCATGAATTCTGGAGAGTCTGAGATGATTGATGTTGAATGCCACGATGCCACTGAGTATTCGAGTTCTTTTGGTGACACGGTATCTGGGGATGAGAATGGTTTGGTAGGCAATGATGAAGTTGAATCACCGCTGCGGAAACCAAGGTTGGTTGGATCATTATTTGATGGATGTCATGGACTGTGTCAGATGAGGTAATCTTTTGTTTGAACTTTTTCATGTTTTTATTGATTTGAGGATTATATTTTGTGTAGACCTGTTATTGATGATTAACCATTTGATGCTTCAATTGTTCTGTACAGATTGTTATGCCAACTGTTATTGTCTATATGTGTTGATTCACCATAAATTAGAAATCTATTTGCTTTATGTACTTACTATAGGAAGCTTCAGACAGCATTTTGACATAAAAAAAAATAAAAAATTGTTCCTATGGGGTCAAATAGGTTCTTCTACCCTTGCACTGAGTCTCCCTTTTTCTTGGAAAAATTCAGTTTGAATGACCTAATATCCAGTCTTTTGGGACTTCCAACTTACTGAAACTGAACATTATTGATCTTGAAAAGTCTTATTTTCCATTAACTAGTATTATTTTGCTGATATTGGATGGTTATTGGTGAACTCGGTGCTTCTAGAATTTCACCATACATGGATTATAGGAAATCCTACCAATGCATAAATAAATTTTCTTTCATTCATTTTCGTAGGTAAAATAGTTACAAACAAATAAAATGTCCATGACCGTGTTTCTCCTTTGTGAAGTGGATACTTTTTCTTGGTTAGATGTTTGTCTGTGTCAGATAATTTAGTTTGTTTTGTGTCTTGAATTCTCCAGGAAGAGAAGGTTAACGGATCACTGGAGGAGGTTTATACGTCCTCTTGCGTGGCGCTGCAAATGGTTAGAAGTTAAACTTCAAGAATTTAGGTCTCAAGCACTCAAGTATGAGGGAGAGCTTGCAGAGTATGATCAAAACGAGCAGTTTGAATTTGAAAAGGTTACCTTTAAAGGCTTTGATGCAAAGTTGCGAGTGTTTCCTTCAAAAATTCAAAGAAAGGAAGAAATGAAGAGGAAGAAAAGGAAAAAAATAGAAGATACAGCTGATGTAGCATCATATATGTCACATCATAATATATTCTCCTATTATGGTATGGAGCTTATAATTATTCTTTATATGATGTTTATTATTTAAAAAGTTCTAATTAAGTTTTCTCCCTTGGCAGAAAGTAAGAGGTCTGTTGCTGCTGCTAATGATGATTGGGGTGATTTAGGTAGGAAGTAAGAATTATCCTTTTTCATAATTGTGTATTATAGCTTATGTGTCAAGCCTGCCAATGAGGAAATGATATATAAAAATTGTAAGCTGTAAACATTTCTTTGTTGTCTAGTATATAATTAAGCTTAGCTTATTTAACCCAACCAGATCTAACTTTTTCAACTGTGGATGGCTGTGAGATTATAGTTATAAACTTATAATAGCCAGTTTCTCATTTATTAATACGTGCTTGGTTTAGAAGTTGATTTTGGTGGAACATTTGAAGTTTTGAACTGTATTTGGTTTTCTGTGATAAAACGAAAATGATTTCTGAGGAAACCAGAGATTATCCTGGATTTTATGACTCTTGGTCCCTCTTAATAATGGATAATTGTTATTATATATGTCTATTTTATCACTGATTTTTTTTTGGCCAACATATTTATCACTGATTTGGGTTTAATGGTTACTTTTTCTAGGTTTGATATATAACTCTTCTGTTGTCTTTTTTTTTTTTTTAAATCCCTATTAATTTTTGGGATTTTGCACATTTTTTTATGTAATGATTTTTGCAGATAATAAACAGTCTGTCTCTTGATTTCTACAGACAACAAAGCAATCAATGGCTATGATGACATTGGATGTAATGATGGATGGCCATTTCAATCTAGAGATGGTGATAATTTGACAGAACAGATCCTTCCGAAGATTGAAGTGCTAAGATCAAGAATTCACTTACTAAAGACACGAATGGACAAGGTCGTGAGTGAAAGTCTTCAAAAGTTTTCTCCCAACATGTTGAGTTCGCCTGTACCATCTGATGTATTGAATAATTCTGGAAATCATCCTTATACTGAAAAAGGAGATAGAAATAGTTCACAATGTACTACATCCCAGCATGCATCTGGGTGTGAAATGCGGGATAGTTTTATGCCTGAAAGTGCAGTTTCAAGTCTTGCAGAGGTAGCCTCTCTTCCCGATATGATCAGGAGCATGAGTCAGCGTCTGCTTGAGTTTTCCTCTGAAAATGTGAGTTTTTCTTGTTGACTTAATTTTGTTCACTTTCTTTATTCTTTTGTTTATACACTGCAAGTATGTAAACTCCAAATCCTCCCCTTTGCCTGCACGTTTTTTCATGATATCCTGTTTTGCTGTAATCAAGATTTATATATAAAAAATCAGTCAGGAATTTCTTAGTGTGGTAGCCATAAAATATACTTCTGTTATAATGGTTTCTTCTGTGATGGGACTGATCTTCAGTTGTAACTGTAGATTGAGGGAGAAATTCTAATACCTAACCAGGCAGCCAAGGAGGAGTTGCGTAATTTTGAAGTGATATAATTCAGCAGGTGGAGAAGCCTCACATATCGATGGAGAAGCTGAAAACTGTTTTTCTTGTTCATGCTCCTGGAGACAATTTGCCCATTAACACCTCTCTTCAACCGAATGCACAGCCACCTTTTTCCAAGTCAAAGCAAGCTGATAAGAAAAGGTCTGGAGGGGAGCAAAAATCAGGCTTAGGTAGGTGGTGCCAGAGATCCTCAGGTTAACTGGATTCTGTCTGTTGAATTTTGCTTCTATTCATGTTCAGAGAGATGAAATTTCGTTGAAAAAGGGAGTTCAACCTTTTCATCTTTGATTATGATATGTACATGCCAAGTGTGTATTCTACTTTCCTCTGCTTTCGCTTCCTGCTGCAACTTATTCCCTGGTCATGCTATTTTTCACCCTATCTGGACCATACATGTTCAGTTCGGATAGGTCTTATGCCGTATCTAGATCAGTACAATTTTTTTTCTTTTTTAAGAGAGAGATTGACTTCCTTGGAAGGGGACGGCTGACCACTAGGCTAAAGGCCTATTTGATTGACATTAGCTGTGGTCTGATCCCAACCTACATTTTGTTAATGGTTATAAATCGATCCTTCTATAGATTATAGTCATTAGCTGTCTCTTACTTTAAACCCACGATTTGAAAACTCCGTTGTGGAGGAAGAAGAAACTCGTCTAATGTTTGTTATGTTTTTATTTAACACAGTTTGGTAAGAATGAAAGAAAGACGCAAGGAAGAAAAATAATTTGGTTTAATGGATAAACTACGTAGTAACATGTATTATTTGGGAAGTATCGTCATTTGTTTTGATTCTGATTTTGGGATGTTGGATTTTTCTGTTAAGAATGATTTACCGGCTTCTAAGGTATGTAGACTAGTAGTTTTTTATTTTGTTTCTTCGAGAAGCCGAAATTCCTTCATCAGGATTACAAATTAAATGGAAGGGTCTGTCTGTTGTATTGTATTTGTATAGCTTCCTTCTCATATATATATATATATATAGACGCAACGTTCACCAGCTCCCGCAGTGATCATTGTCAACCATGGTAGCCTGGTTCTTTGTCTCCATCTCCATCTCCATCTCTCTTCTCCTCAAACTCATCTTCAACTATCTCTTTCAAACAAGAAAACCATCTCGAAACCTCCCACCAGGGCCCTATCCTCTCCCCATCATCGGTAACTTGTATTTGTTGCGCAAATCTTTTAATGACCTTCAGTGTATGCTTCAGTCCCTTCATGCCGACTTTGGTCCTATAATCACCCTCCACTTTGGTTCCCGCCCTGCTATTTTCATTGCTGATCGCTTTCTTGCCCACCAAGCCTTAGTTCAAAATGGTGCCATTTTTGCTGACCGTCCTCCAGCTCCTGCTTTAAATGGTAGAGAGCGAGTTGGTATCACCACTGCCCTCTATGGCTCCACATGGCGTGTGCTACGCCGTAACCTTACAGCAGAAATGCTTCATTCTTCTCGTGTGAAATCTTATTCACATGTACGTAAGTTTGTGTTGGAAAGACTCCTTAAACTCCTCAAGGTTCAGTCTAAATCTGGTGATCATCCGGTGCAAGTGGTGGAACATTTCCGATTCTCCATGTATAGCTTGCTAGTTTTCATGTGTTATGGCGACAAGATTGAAGAAAATAAAATCAAGGAAATAGCAGAAGTTGAGAGGAATCTGGTGTTGAGTTTTAGTCGAGTGAGTATGATTTCTATTTGGCCAAGAGTAACAAAGATTGTATTTCGTAAACAGCTGAAAAAATTCTTTCAACTACAAGAAAAATCGAAAGATTTAGTTGTCCCTTTGATACTAGAGCGAAAGAAGGTGAAGGAAGAGAAGTTGAGTGAAGGTGAAAATTATCAGGTCAATAACAAATATGTCTCATGCTACGTTGATACCTTGTTAAATTTGCAGCTACCAGAAGAGAATAGGAACCTTAGTGTGGAAGAAATTCTTGGTTTATGCTCAGAATTTCTCAACGCAGGAACAGATAATACATCCACACTGTTGCAATGGATTATGGCAAATTTGGTGAAATATCCATATATCCAGGAGAAGTTGTTCGTAGAGATTAAAGGGGTCATGGGAGATGATCATGAAGAAATGGTGAAAGAAGATGATTTGCAGAAAATGCCATATCTAAAAGCAGTGATCTTAGAAGGGTTAAGGCGGCATCCTCCCCTTCACTTTTTGATACCTCATGCAGTGAAAGAGGATGTGGTTTTTAATGGTTATTTGATGCCAAGAAATGCAACTGTGAATTTCATGACAGGAGATATGCGAATCGACCCAAAGGTGTGGGAAGATCCAATGTCATTTAAGCCAGAGAGGTTTCTTAGTACTGATCATAATGAGGATGAAGAGGGATTTGATATAACAGGGAGTAAGGAGATTAAAATGATGCCATTTGGTGCTGGAAGAAGGATTTGTCCAGGGTATGCGTTGGCCATACTTCATTTAGAGTATTTTGTGGCAAATTTTGTCTGGAATTTTGAATGGAAAGCTGTAGATGGAGATGATGTCAACCTGGAAGAAAAACAGGAGTTCTCAGTATGGATGAAGCATCCATTGCAAGCCCTTATATCTCCAAGATTTTGATGAGAATACACTCAATTGTATACTTTCAGTTGTTAAAACTTGAAACCTTTCCACTAAACTCTGCTTATGCTTTGCTTGAGCTTGCTGTTACAGTTATTGTAGTGTTTCTTACCAGCAGGAAGGCAAGAATTATCAATTTCAAGAAAAGGAAATCCAAGGTCGCTGCTGCTGCAGTTATTTTTGTTTTCCTTGTTGAATTTTAACCTTTTATTTTCCTGTCATTGTATTCCTTGAGAGTATTTCATTTTTCATATATGCAGTTCTGATGAAGTATTTACCAATTCCAAAGACTAAAAATTCCATGTTTCAAATCTCATGAAGAACTTGAAACCAAGATTGATATTTAAGAAGTAGCTCTGATCTATCTTTTGTTTTTCTATTTATTTTTCTTTTAAATAATTCATCACCGTTTACATACATAATATTTTCTTTTAAACAATTCATCACCATTCACATGCATGATATACCATGCAAAATGAACTTTTACAGCAAAAAACTATTTCAAAAAGAGATTATCATCAACATATTATAGCTCCTAATTTTCTTTTCTGCAGGATGGGATTTCGTCTGAAATTGGGAGGACTCGCCCTTATAAAGCGTTTTATGGTGCTTTCAAGCAAAGGGTCTAACCCTTGATAATGGACATGATCCCTTTCTCCATCATAAGAAGAATTTCATCTGCACAATGAAAAACTGACATTAAGTAAAGGATTCCAAATTTTTCTCACAAAATTTCATTGATGCAACAGAAGCAAGAGCTTTCATGGCACCACATGGTAATTTCCATATATTCCTCCAATAGTAATACATCCGATGACCATTAAGTGGAAAGTTTGAGCATTGGGGCATGCCCCAAACTCCTTGTCTTCAAAGCTTTCTTAGCCTCTTGCATCAGCCTCTTTCTAGAATAAAAATGGTCACACTGTCCCAATCATGTACTATAGGATCCACCTGTAGTCCCATCCTTGATTTCCTCCAAGAACATTTCTTGTGAACGTTATAACTTCAACGTTCCCTCCACATCACTTAACAAGCATCTCAAATTCTACAGTATAACTTCTTGGTATCTTAAGCATACCTCATATCTTGATTCCACATTCGGCTCCTCAAGTATCATTATGAATAGCCCAGGTTCATCAAATTGTCATAACTGCTTGGATCCAGATGAATCCGAGCAGGTGGATGTAGAAGAACTTAACCCAGGGCAATGCATCTCACAAGATCATGCATTACGTTGCTATCTAAGTAACCTAGTCAAATGCATGAGTTGATAATATGGACTGAGGCTGAATGCTCTTTCCAGGACATGATTTATTTCTAAACTCAGTTTATAACTAGCAATTAATTGGATTTTAATTGGTACTTTAAAGAATATTACTGTGCTAGACAATTATTTTAATCCACTGTATTCCTGAAACATGCAATGGAGCTACAACCGCATTTAGCTGCACCTCAACAATTGCATTTAACTTAGATTAAGTTTCTAATGAGCATTAAGAGGGCTGTGGGCCAATATATGAAGTACTCAAAAAACCTTAATATGTAGATTTCCTACCTGATATTGTTGGTTTTACAAGATCATCACCCTTTTGTGCACTTTGTGCCGCCTGACATAATATATAAAAAAATTCTCCTTAGGCAGTCTCCCTGGTAAAAAGCAAAAAGATGGAAATTTTAAGTCAAAGGAAAAAGAAAAAAGAAGGATGATGGCTAATCAAGATAAATGATTTATTGCTTAGAAATTAAATTGCTCCAAATTTAGTGAATCATACATAGGTCCCAAACCTTGAGATACACACACTACTAAGAGCAGCCTGGTGGATTTCATCTGTTGCTGGTTACATCAAGAGATGACATCATATTTGTTTCATAAAAGGGCTCATTGAACAAAAGGCTTCAACAAACTTATTTTTTTATTTTACATCTACAACTTCAGTAATCTTATATTGGGTTGAGTACATGTATTAACTTTCTTCTTCCGTGTGAACATTCATGTATTCCAACGGGTGAATGGAACTCAAAAACACAAGGGAGACTTAGAGAAGGGTTTTTTTCTAGGAAGAAACGAGTAATAGTGGTGCCAACTGGCCAGCAGACAAAAATTGTATTTATATACGAAAGAATCCTCAAAGAAACAATTATGCAATGACAAGCATCTCTAACTTAAATGGTTTAAATATATAACTCATTCAGAACCAATAGCACTAGAAAACACACTAGCTAATTCACTTTATTAAAAGTCCAGTAATTACATTTTTGAAACAGGTATCACCATAAAATAAGTCTAGTTTAATTTATAGCATGCATGCTTCTAAGCACTATTTCCCATACACAATATAAGATAAGTAACTAGAAATGCTAGCCTTAAGCATTTGGCTGCAGGATTATGCTTTGACCAACTTTCTACCATTCCCTATGGGCCAATTTGTAGCCTCATTCTCCCAATCTGTTAGAGTTGTCCAGTCCAGGCCATAAGAACATCAAAATCTTTATTCATAATTTTGAGGAGTTATTTATTGACAATTAAGACCAAAGGAGATGCATCCATAAGCTGGAGGCTGGGACTGGATCAATGAAAAATTGAAAGTTAGAAACTTTTCTATCAATGATCCTAAGCCAGCCATAACTTGTTAAACATAGGATACGATGAATTTTTAACATGAAATTCAAGTCAAATGGAACAAGAAAGAGGACTTACAAAATATTTTAGATCTCCGATATGGTTTCCTATCCCCATTCAAAGCTAATCTTATGAATGAGAGAAGTCCAGGGCCAAACAACCAGAGAGGATCACTTCTTGCAAGAAGAATCAACCTAGCCAGAGGATCACCAAATATATGAGCCAGGCAATTCCAAATATAAGCTCATTGATTGGGATACCTACAGCCTTTCTACGGTTTGTGTAATATACAGCCAACCTCTCATCAAGAAGTCCTACAACCATGTAGCAGTGCTTTATTAGGATCATGCCTACAAGATTTTACTGTCCATCCTTCATGCCAAAAGTGAACCAGATTCAGCCAAGAGCCACCTTAACATTTCCGTCCCAAACCATTTCTTTTAAGCATTATCATACAATCATTATCATCCTTCATCTTTCATGCCAGATTAAGCATTGCAAAAAAACATGTTATCATACAATCAAAAGCATGATGGATCCGAAACTTCAGATGAACCTATTTAGCAACATGGTCTTCATTATTTCTCAATATTCCCTTATCAGCTAAGGTTCCTAGGAACTCTTTCAACAACCATATGTGTTAAACTTTATCCAACAAAAGGGAGAAGGGAACCTAATAGTAATTCCTTGCATCCAGGTTAACAACTATTATGAACAAAAACTTCTAACCTTGATCTTCAGCTCTTAGAGAACTCACAGCAACCAAAATTTTCAGTAACTACTCAAAGCTCAAGAAAGCATTGCCATATATGCATTAGACTTGGCTTAAAATTCAATATCTCACTCATCAAATCAGTTTTCCAGTTGTCCATTTATTTCACGCATCAATAAATTGGAATTATCAGCAACACGTTTGCTTTCATAAATTATATAGCTACATAATTCATGCCTGGAGGCTGGTCTTAGTGATTTTAATTCTCTGAGGGGATCTGTGACCACATATTTACTGCATATTTCTTTTGCTGGTTGAACATGCTTCCACCAAAAGTCAGAGAGTGCCAATTTGAGAACATCCCAGTATTCTACATCTCGACATATCCTAAACAAACTGCTTCCTTTAGGAGTCCAAACATAGAAATCCATCCAATCCCGGTCCATGATTTCCATTAAACCCTGAGCTTGTGGAATACAATAACGGGGGATCCGCTTCCAAGGGGAAGCCTTGCTCATATCTCCACCAAAAAAAGGACACTTTATCTCCAATACTCCTCTAAGAGGCAACCCATAAACAAACCTGTCCACTATCCCATCAGGTGAAGCTGCTAACCAACTCTCTTCTGGGTTCATCTTACCATAAACCTGAAATTCAGGAAAAGCAACTGTATTTCCAGTAATCAGCTTGTATCTTTCAAGTGCTTCCTCTTCTTTGATATTGCTCCAAGAGGTAGCCAAGTTACCAGAAAATGGCTCAATTGCCCCAAGTTTCTCTAGCCAGAGTTGAGCCCTTCGACAAGGCCGAAAGCCAACAGCCCCAGCAAATGTGCTTGCTGTCAATTTATGCCTTCTCTGGTCTTGCCAACTTTTGAACCAATGCTGAAGACCACCGGACCGAAGAATAGAATAAGTTTCACCAGGTGCAAATTTCTGATAACAACCAGATTCGCTTGAACTTATTTGAGAAGGGTGATTGAGAAATTGATTACAGGTGATAAGCCTTTCACTAACTGGCTCAAGTATACTGTGGCTGGAATATGTTCTCCTATACTTAAAATTACCCACAAGTAAACCAATGTTATGTATTCTCCTGCTTTTGTAATGTGATACCTGAAAGATTAAGGGAAAGCAATATGCAAGTTCTTCACTGCCCAAGAGGAAAAAAATGGTTTCATTAATTCATTATGAGCGATAGCAAGAATCTATTGATATAAAAAAATTGAGGTAAGAAAGCAATAATCATTAGAAGATTCAACAAAAGCAATAAATTTGTAAAAATTATGGCTTTCTTTTTAGAAAGTGTGTTACAAAAGCAAATAATCATTTTGATGAATTAATTTTTTTTTAAATTAACCTTTTGAATATTAAAACACCTGAAGTTTACATTTACAGAAAACAACTATCAATTATGTTTATATGTATGCTTCATTCAAGCCATTACTCATCTAAGCAAAATATAGTCTAGCTTTTTACACTACTTTTTCTTTTAACAACTTTTCAGGAAGCAAAAATCAAATAGGAAAAAGCAAGTAGCAAAAAATAAATAAATAAATATAAATAAAAAATAAAAAAACCAAACTGAGCCTACAAAAATCAAAAGCTCTGTAAACATATACACAGTCACTGAACTGTTATTTACCATCAGCGCTACCAACCAATAAAAATAAGTTCATTCACCGTGCAAAATGCCCTTCACAATATAATTCAAGAAGACTCTCGCTCCTCAAGAAAGAAACCATAAAAAGCCTTGAATGACAATCTCATATTAATTACTAGAAAATACAAGTGATTGACTTCAAAAGAGACACTTAAAGTTAAAACCAAAAAAAGACAATGTGGGCAAACAAATATGAGAAATATGGGTATTTATGCTAACAAAATAAAATTTCTAAAAATGGGCTTCTGTGATACTAAATATAGTTCTAAATATGGGTATTTTTCTGTGGCTCTCTACTTCTTTCTTAATTCTTCTTCTAAAGAATTGACAACTTGATCTGTAACACTTTAATTCTTGTGAGAAATAAAACGTTACAATTCATTGAGACAAAAAATCAAACACTTTACATGTTTAACAAAGAATATTAACAAAAAGAAGAATAAATTAATCTATGAGATATAAATAGAGAATTACTAACCATGAAAGCTTGTGAGAAGAACGCTGCATAGAGACTGAGAAATGGGAAAAAGAAGAGAAATAATTTCACACTAATTTCATTTTTTTTATTTATTTAATCTTCCCTTTGAGAAACGAAGAAAATCCCATCTGTTTGGCAACACGATTAGGCTGTACTCTCTATTTTGGTCCAATGAAAAATGCAATCAAGGACAACATTAACAAAACCCAGCCCATCCAATGCAAAGCCCAAGGAACAGATAATAAGAGAAAAGAAAAGAGGATGAAATTTGAAGTTTTAGAAAACTTTTTTTCAACACTATTTTCTAATATATTAGTATTTGTTTTAATGTGCATCACACATAAATATTCCCTGTTCTATCTATTTTTGACTATATAGTTATATATTTTATAAATAGAAAAACTAATAAAGTGTATATTAATAAAAATTTTTATCAACATGTAAAATTTGTTTCAGGGTATAAATTTTATCAAATTAATATAAAATTTATTATTTTTTAAGATAATTAAAATTAAAATTATGAAGATAAAGAAATTTATTGTAAACTTTGACTTTTTTTATTTATCAAATAATTCATTTTTATTTTAAAATTAATAAAAAATTAGAACTTTAACTCTTTTGTATTTATTTATCGAATCAATCCATTTAACAAAAATTTTTAATGAAATTAAAATTCTTATTTATAAATTAGAAAAATCTTACTAATAATAAAAATATATTTATAATGGCATTAAGATACATGGTGAATAACAATAATTATTTTCTTAGTTCAAAAGCTTGTTCACATTTATACTTTTATATGTATTAGGTGTTGTAGTCACATACATTACATTGTGAATATTAATTTTTTATTTATTTTTAAATTATAAAATATAAAATATATAATTATATATTATTTGTGAATAACTAAATACATACAAAATGTTATTTTCGTAAGAACTTTTGAAAATTAATGAATTGCTAATTATTAAACAGATGTATAATGATCATCTAATTAACTTGTAATTTTTTTCAAATCAAAATCTTAAACTAATATCAAAATCAGATGATATAACAATCATTTAAAAAGAAGTGTTAAATCTTACGAAAAATACAACGCAAGCAAACAACACTAATTTACAAAACCACTCTACAAGATTTAAAGTTGGCAAGACCATCAGCAAATCAATTAGCCTCTTTTAAATTAAGTTTCTAGTAGGATATGCTTAAACTTAATGTAGATACTTCGTTTAACTTAATTAAAAAGATATACAGCACATTAAATTCCAAGTTAATTGATTATGTTTATTTATTTTTACGATTTAATGAGTATAATTATAATGAAGTAAAAGTTTATAATATTAATTTCATGCAATAACAAATCAATGTCACTTTTTGCGTTTTTTTTTTTTAAATATATAAAATAATATAACACTACAGTTATTAGAATCTGTAATAATCTTTATTAATATCCCTAATATAGCTAAGCTAAACTCAAATTATTGCATATTGTCCACTTTATTTATTATTACTAAAGATGGTAAGGTTTATTTGTTTGGACAAAACTTATATAAAATTTTATAAATGAAATTCGTGAAATTATTTATTAGAAATGAATAAATAAAAGTTTTAATAAAAAAAATCCGAATTAATAGATTGATAAAGTTTAATATGAAAATTAATAATATATAAAAATTATTAAAAATATTATTTATAATTCAAATTTAATCTATATTTATTTAAAGATAAAAATTTTATTAATATTCTTACAAAAAAATATCTATTTAATAAATATATCAAAATTTATAAATTTTTTTTAAAATTTTACACTATTGATTTATGTGATAGAATCTTTCAATTTTGATTTATTCATTTGTAACAAAAAATTTCAAAAATTTTATATAAATTTTTTCCCACGTGGTTGCTTTTTGTTTTTATTTTATTAAGGCACGTACTACACGTGAATATGTAGGGCTTCTGAGTCCACATTTTTTTATATGTAAATAGGAAAGACACAATCGCAAGAGCGTCACATGGCATCACGATAGTAACAAAAAATATACAAATATTTTATACAAGAAAGAAGGAAGAAGAAGAAAGAAGAATAATTTGCAGATGCCCCAAATGGCTGAGCATGACCAAGAGGTGAAGCTGGTGGGTGCATGGTACAGCCCATATGTTCACAGGGTGGCCTGAGTGTTGAAACTGAAAGGAATCGATTACGAATTTGTGGAAGAAAATCTGAAGGATCTGAACAAGAAGAGCTCTCTCCTTCTGAATTGCAACCCGGTGTACAAGAAAATCCCAGTGCTTATTCATCATGGGAAACCGATTGTTGAATCTTTATTTATCATTGAGTATATTGATGAGACATGGAAAGACAATCCCATTTTACCCACTGATCCATACGAGAGAGCCATGGCAAGATTTTGGGCTTCTTTCATTGATGAAAGGGTACGATTGTATCTATTTATCATTATTTTTGTGTTGTTGTCTCTGTTAGAACTTAAACATGATATTGTCTGTCTTTTTTATTAAGTTCAACTATTAAAACAATTAATCACTTAATTATCGCTTTATAACATGATTTTAGAGTTAAAGTTTTAATTCAAATTCTAGAAATTTTACCTTTCCTCTTTAATTTTTCTTCTTCGGTATATATCTTGCTAATTGGACTTTATGTGCATTTCTTTTTAAATAATTAAGCTTTTTTTTTTTTTTCAATTTGCATGTTTCTTTTCTATTGAGAGAACGTGGTAGAACTTAAATATAATATAATTGGTTCACTAATTCTTATTAGATTAAACTTTTTGGAAAATCAATTAGAGTTGATAATTTAAAACATGATGTAATGACGTGACACGAATTTTATATGAAAATAAGACATAATGATGACATGACATAAAATTTTAGTAATAATTATATATGAATTTAATAAATTTAAAAAATATATTTTATATTTTTATATCACTATAAATTATAACACGTAATTTTTATATAAAATATTATACAAATATATATTTTAATATTTTTCGTAATACAAATACACATATCGCTAGATTTAAATTCGATTACTAATTATCTGTCCAACACACTCCTTACTCTTTCCTTTTTTGGAGCCAAAAAATAATAAATATGAAAAGAAAAGAAAAATGTGTCCCAAATTTATATGTAGATTTGATAAAAATATGGACAATTAGAGGTATCAGAGGTCGGATTACTTGTTTACATATTCTCAATTATATATATTAAGTAATATTTTAATTCGGAATGTCGTATTCAGTTGATACTTGATTTAAACATTCTGATACAAAAAAATCATATAAATATATAGGTATCTTGTTCATTACATACGAAATTGTCAAGTATTCTAAATACAACTATTCACTGGACATATGATTATAGTTACTTGAAAGTTCAAGGAGAGTGTTATCTGTTGAAGGAGAGAAGCTAAGGATGGAAACTAAGCAAGTATCAGATGCCATGGGAGTGCTCGAAGGAATGTTGGAGGGTAAGAAATTCTTTGGGGGTGAGAAGATAGGGTTCCTAGACATCGCCTTCGGCTGGATAGCGATATGGTTGGGAGCCATCGAGGAGGTTGTTGGTGTAGAATTCTTCAACCGCCGCAAATTCCCTCTCCTCGAGACTTGGAAGGACAAATTCAAAGAGTTTCATGTTGTCAAAGGCAGCTTGTATCCCACGAAAAAGTTGGTTCGGTTCTTTACAAAGTACCGCCAATCACAGCTAAAATTAGCAGCAAAAAAATGAGATCGATGATGATCGATCAGTAGAAATGTAAGAATGTTAAATGCTATAAAGATCTCTCGATCTCTATGCTTAAGAAAAGTAATGTAAGTTTTGAGCTATCAGTATCATCAATAAAGCAAAGTTGTGTAGCTCAAAAAATTTAATTTATGGAAATAAAAACGTAACGAAAGTTAGAGTCTGAAGGATGATGTTTTAATTTGCAAGTTTATTAGTATAATATTTCATTCATCACTTCAACTTTAAAATGGATGAAAAAGAGAGAAATGAACTTTTTTTTTAATTAAAGGATTTTATTTATGTATTTTTTTTACAAAAAATGTTATAATTTGAAAATAAAAAAATTGTAAAAGTTAAATTTTAAATTTTAAAATTATTATATCATATTTTAAAAATAATTATATGAATAATTTTTTATTAAATTTAAATTTTTATTTATGTAAACTTTACATGGTGGTTAAGTATATTCTATAAACAATATATATAATTAATAAAAGTAAGTTCATAATAAGAGATTTTTAATTCAACAAATGAGTAAATTTAAGCACTAAGGATGTTTATGGATTACCAAGACAAGCGAGAACTAGATCAATCGAGTTTTTTTATTTTAATAATCAATGAAGTTCGACTTGATTCACTTATTTAAGAATTACATTATTAAAACAATAAAATAATATTTATATTAATTTTTATTTTTGAAACATATTTAAAAAATAAAAATACATTATTTATTAGTAAAATAATTCAATTCGGATGAATGGAATCCTCAAGCGTGAGTCCTTAGCTGGAGCGCCATGGACACGTCTCTCGTACTAACCACATAAATAGAATATTATTAGGTTATGTTTTGCGTGTTGTTGCGGATTTAATATATTAATTTAATTAATATAAATTTATATTATTTAATAAATATATTAACATTAAATTTATATTAAATATTAAATATATTAATTTATAATTAATTAGATTTAATGAATATTATAAATTAATGAATGATTAAGTCATGAATAATTAAATTCATTTAATTTAATTTTTATTTATAATTAATTAATAGTAAATATAGATTTAGATTTAAATTTTAAATAAAAAAAGGATAAAATACATTTATTTAAAATTAATTACATTTATAAATATAATAAATTTATAAATATTTAAATTTATGAATTGTTAAAATACATTCATCTATAATAAAAAAAAATCTAACATAACAAATGAAAGATGCTTACATGATAAAAATAAAAATAAATCTTACATGATAAATGAATAATACTTGCATGTTAGTATTTACGTGATATAATATTAAAAACAAATGGTAAAAATATATATATGTAATTAAAATTATTTCTTTTCCGATATTTATTCGATTTGGCTATTTTAAACATTTATCATT